AGCACAGTGGTAGCTCATTTGCCTTGCATGTGGCCGGCCCGGCTGAGCTGGGTTTAATTCCTCTGCCCCTCTTGGAGAGCCCGGCAAGCTACTGAAGAGTATCTCGCCCGCATGGCAAAGCCTGGCAAACTCCCCATGACGTATTCGATATACCAAACACAGTAACAACAAGTCTCACGTTGGAGACGTTACTGGGCCCACTCAAGCAACTTGATGAACAACGGGAGGACAGTGCTACAGTGCTACGAGTACTGAATTAATTGATTCAAACAAGGTGAAAGTGAACTAGGACAGAATTCCTAGCACAAGAAAAATTCCACTCCTAACAAGTGTTGGGGTGGGGGTGGGAGGCGTCACATCTGGTGGTTCTCCTAACAAATACTTTTTTGTGGGGGGCACATCCAGTGGTGCTCAGGACTTATTCCTGGTTCTGTGCTCAGAGATCACTACTGGCTGGCTTGGAGAACCATATTGGGTACTGGGGATCGAACTTGAATTTGTTGTGTTCAAGGTAAATTCCCTATCCAGTGTAATACCACTCGGGCCAAACACATTCTCTTTTTTTGAGGAATAATAACAAGAAGTGCATGAAATTTCCTAAGTCACACTATCGAATTATTTTTATGCATCACCAAAGTATACCGCTTGTTCCCAACGATATCTACAAAGAAGAACCAACTGAAAAAGAGATGCGTGCAAAGGTCTCCTAAAAGTAGGTGTCAGGAAAGTGTCATGAAGGAAAGCACAGTAAAGCATGGTCTCTGGCAGATGGATGCTCTCTTCCTTTGGAAGATTATTTCTCTTGGAACAATGTCATAAAGATGAATAGACTTGAATCACTGGCACCAAAAGAGATAGTACACCAGGGAGGGCACCTGCCTTGTATATGGCTGAAGCCAGGGTTCGTTTCCCAACACGGCCAGTATTCCCGGAGCCCCACCAGCAGTAAACCTGAGTACTGCCAGGTGTGGCCTCAAAAATCAAAGGCAAAAGATTTTTAATTAAAAATCTAAGCACGAAGTTTTTCCAAACTAACAATGTCAACTCTATGACATCAGACTTGGCACTTGTTCACCACTCTCTCTGGCACTTAAAACAGTAACTAGCCCAGAGTACTCAACGGACATCTGTCAAACAACGGGTTTTAGCATTATTGTCACTACATTTGAAAGCATTCTTTTTACTGAACTTAATTTTAACTGATCATACCAATCCTAAAATGTTGGTACTTTTTCTAATTGTTTTATTTGACTTTGGGGGGGCTACATCTGACAGTACTCAGGGCTTACTCCTGACTCTGCACTCAGGGATAACTCCTGGAGAGACTCAGGGTACAACATGAGGTGCTGGGTATCAAACCAGGGTAAGCTGCATGTAAGGCTATTACCCTATCGATTGTATTTCTGGCCCTTACCAATTATTTTAGACTGAAGTATCATGATTAATAATAGTATTAACAAGAATGTTTTAGGCGTACAATGTTACTGCACCTCACCCACGAAGAGAGTGCCAATATCCCTCCCATTGTCCCAAAGTCCCTTACTTGCAATACCTTCCTCCATCCCCCAGGTTTGGAGATTCAGTTCTGTTGGCAGAATCTCAAAGATTGCTTTCATTGACCATTGCTTATTCTTCTACATTCTTTCTCTATAAAGCAAGATTATCTGGTTATCTTCCTTCTTTCTTCACTCAGCATGACGTTGTTAAGAGGGGAATCATTAAGGGCTGGGGTGGTATAGTTTGGGATGACAGAGCTCAATTATTAGAGCAGACCTTGTGTTTAAGGTCTTGGTTTCAATCCATCATGGATCAATCATCATGGATTCAAAGCATCATGGATCTTTCAAGCACTGCTGGACGTGACATCCACAGCAATAAAAATAAATGAGTAAGGAGTTAATGGAGAGAAATCACTAAGGACACAGAACTTTGGATGTCGAAAAAGATGAGAAAGCAGGTGTGAAAATGAATACGCAGGGCCAGAGCACAGTACAGTAGGTGGGGCTCTTGCTTGCTTATGCTGCAATCCCCAACATCCCATATCCCAACTCTCAAGCACTGCCAAGAGTGCGGAACCAGGAGTAACCCCCGAGCATCAGAGGCTGTGGCTCAAAAACAAAACAAAAACAATAGGAATAATATCTTAGGGACACAATTTCAGATGTAAAAAGAAGACAATAAAGCAGGTTTGAACGCTACACTGTGAGGGCTGGAGCAGTAGCACAGCAGGAACGGTGTTTGCCTTGCATGCAACCGATCCATGTTCGATTCCCAGCATCCCATATGGTCCCCCAAGCACTGCCAGGAGTGATCCCTGGGTGTAGAGCCAGAAGTAACCCCTGAGCATTGCCGGGTGTGACCCAAAAAGCAAAATAAATAAATAAATGCTACAGTGTGATGCTACAGTGAAAAGCAAAGCAAAAGATGCAAAATGTCTCCTTAGGAAACAATGAACATAAAAACAAATAGCTTGTCTACTCTACCAACTTGAGATGCCTTATTTTACCAAGAGCTTTGTATACGAACCAAGATTAAATTCACTACCTCATAACTGCTTCTTGAAAAGGAAATAAATAATCAGCAGATGCACTGGCACTAGTACTATGTTTCCAGTATTGAATTTATAGATAACAGTCGTATAATTTTCCAATATGTACCATTTTTTCCCTTGTGATTAGGCTTTATTATTTTGTTTTGTTTTGGGACTACGCCCACCCATGCTCAGGTCTTACTCCTTGCTCTGCACTCAGGGATCACTCCTGGTGGGCTCAGGGGAATATATAAAATGCCAGGAATCTATTCACGGTTGGCAGCATGCAAGGCAAACGCCCTACTCACTGTACTATCTCTCCAACACTATCTGTTATGTGCCATATCAAGATCCTAAGAAGCAATATTCTGAAAAGCTCTATAAAAAGAATATTAATTCTGTAAAAAGTATGTTATATACTAAAATAACAATTTTGGATGTATCAAATATCTAACATTTTAATCAATAGAAAAGGTTCAATTCTGAACAACATATTGTACGTACTCATAAATAACAAATAACAAATTTTTTAAAAACCAATTATAAATTTAAAACACCATTTAGATAGTAAATTATGCAATTTTGGTCACTATTTCTTCTGAAATGAGGGAAGAAAATCTCTTCATATTATGAAATGTACTCTTATTTCATTTAATAATTTAGACCCATAAGTGATCATACTATATTTCTTTGAACTTTTCATCTAACTGGAACCACAGTTTTAATAATTCTCTTAATTGTTCACCTTAAACAAATGTACTGTTTTGGGGTCAACATGGTACAACTACTCAAGTTAAAGAAAGAATAGTTTATGTATGAATCAGAACATAGGGATGAAAATAGTGTGTATTAAGTCCTTAATTTTCATCTCAAGAAATCAATACACAAATTGATAGCGTCATAAAGTTTAGATGGCAAACCCAGGATTAGAGATATAAGCAGTTTATCTAAAATGCTATAGCCATCAGAATTAGGGAAACAAATTAGGAATTATAACTGGAAATAACAAATGGGGAAATCTGATAGTCATTATTATTTTATTTATTCCAGGTTGTTTATATACCTTAATTTAAAAACAAATGTTTTTAATTTGTTGAGGTTCTAGAGATTGAACCCAGGGGTTCACAAAAGGCAAGTACTCTGTCACTATATGCCACTTAGTTAAAATCAAGCACCTGTAAATCTAAATATATTCATATTTATTCTTTAGCCTCAAAATAATTTGAACTGCTCACCCCATTTCAAGTTCCCTGTCTTTCACTGTGCAATCCTGCAATGTTCTCCTTATCTCCACTATGATTTTGCTTTCTCAGTTTATTTCCACTCTATGATGTTTTATTTGCCTTCTCTGGTGTCCTTATCTCCTGTCTTAAGCCATAACAGCTCACTCTATCCTAGGGCAAACAAAAAAATTTCACTCGACTGGTATGCTCTACATAAACCATATCCAATTTTCCCTCTTCCATTCATTTTCCAAATTAAAAAAAAATGTAGCTTTGGGGCCTGGTAGTATAGTAGGTAAGGTGCTTGTCTTGCACACAGCCAGCCCAGATTCAATACCCACCCTCTACACCACATATAGTCCAACTAACCACACACACCAGGTGTGTCCCGAAAGGAAAAAAAAAAAGATTTTATTTCCCTCTGAAATACAGCTTTTAAACGCCAATTTTAATAATGCTTTAATAGTCTTCAATTCTCCTTATTTTATTTCATATGGTCTTCTTAGCAGTCTACTTAGCCTTTTATTATGAAGCAACAGTGACAATGAATTGGACGTAAAAATACCCATAAGAAGGGTTTCAAAGAATATCAGGGAAATGCTGGCACAAAGTGTTGCAATAACTAATGTTAAAGAATTTGTTAAAGAATATTTAATTTGTTAAAGAATACTTAATCTTCTGTCTTTTGGGACAGAAAAATCAAAGTAAACAATTAAAATTCATCAACCTGCCAATATGAGTATTATAAAATATATCAGTAATACTTAATTGCTTTTCCTTTCATAATCATAATATTAATGTGCAAGACTAACCCAAAAGATAGCCTAAATTAGGGAAACATTCTAAAGATATTGAGTCTGAACCTCAAAATGTCAGTCTGCCTCAATCAGTCATTCTATAGCAAATCTCAACATTTCCCACTAAAAAAAGTAAAAATATTACAAATAAAGAGAAAAACTTAAAAAGTATAGGAAAATCAGTGAAGATTCAAATTCTGGAATTAGATTATTTTCTGATTTTAAGATAGAATCAATTTTGACTTGTAGAAGTATTAATTTGTATTTTGGAGTCATTTGTGTCTGTTTGCATGAAAGATGGCCCACTTTTGGTAAAAAGAAGATATTCTGAAAGAGAAATACCCACAGAAAGCATTAGTTTGAAATCTTAAAGATATTGGGAGAAGAAATAATGAATCCATACTTATGAAAAAATAGCTGATTTTATCATTATTATCAATGTCAAACAAGTCCTTAAATCAATTAAAATTTATTCAGTTAAGCGTAGAGTTACTTTCACATTTGTCTACAACCATAGTAAATACAATTCTTGGCATAAAGACACAGTCTTTGGAGTTTAAAACATACCCAACCTTAAAATTACATATATAAAACGCCCATTATTGTTTATGTGATAATAAATTCATTAATCAAATTATACTCTCTGAAACAAAATAAAATGGAAATAGTTTACTCATAAATTTATATTTAAATCATCTTTATTTACAAAATACTATCCTGAGAGTTATAATTCCAATAAGCTTCAATTTGAGCAAAAGTATCATCACTTAAGTAACAGCAGTTACTTAAACTGAAAAGGAGAGATAAGTCAAAATTACTTTTGAACAGAGATTAAAAATATTGTCAAGTTTCTTGTTGTGGGTCTGGATGTTCAGCAGTTGGCTCATTTGATGGCAGAATCAACCCTGATTGGAACTCACTTCTACTTTCAGGATGTGGGGGTGGGGAAAAAAATCCAGCTCTCGGGGGTAGGTATTGAGGAAAACCTCTCGGTGCATAGACATTTCTCACTGTTTAAAGAGATTGGAAAAATATATGTTTAAGTACCCACACTCCTAGTAAATCGATAGCTTATAATTTCTAGCAACTACCTCTATGTTAAAAAATTGACAAAATAAATATTTGATGTAATTAGTTTTTAACATTCAGAAAAACACATTCTCTCCCACTACATACGATCAAAGGGAATATATTTTTAGCACAATCTTTATCGTAAGAACATACTATCCTTCATAATACATGATTAATGGGAGAAAAATTTAGCGTATTTTTATTCTAAGAAACTGTAACACACTAACAAAACCTTAACAATAAATTATTTCAAAATTTGCAAAAGAAATACTTTAAAATTTTTCATGTAATATTGTTTCCACTGCACTTAAAATTTAGATCAGCTATTTCCAATTCTTATTTTATACTACCCTTAAAATAGTACCAATTATATAACAGGCCATTTTAAACTTCCTCGAACAAAACTTCCTATTTCAATAAAAGAAGAAATGAAGGAATGAAAGGCAACTTAAGGAAATACTATGTTTTTGCCTAGTACTTGGTAAATATATATTTATTTTATATATATATATATTTCTGAAGGGCAATGAAAAGAAATGAAAACAAAATTCCCTCTTTATCTGATGCCATGAAGTAATTTAAATACATTCAATCATCAGTTCAAACTTTTGAAACACATTTTCAATTTTATTTTTTATTTTTTTTTTGCTTTTTGGGTCACACCCGGCGATGCACAGGAGTTACTCCTGGCTCTGCACTCAGGAATTACCCCTGGCGGTGCTCAGGGGACCATATGGGTTGCTGGGAATCAAACCTGGGTCAGCCGCATACAAGGCAAACGCCCTACCCACTGTGCTATTGCTCCAGCCCACATTTTCAATTTTAAATAGGACTGCATGGGAACTAATACTTTTTCAAGACTTTTAGTCAATAAAGACTGTAGACTTTTCAGTGCTAAAATATAAATTATGATTATTTTTACAAAATGACAGTCATCAGTTACTATCAAAGACAAATAATTTCAGCCCTAGTATGACTGCTACAAAAAAGCCAATAATTTTCTTGACTCTGAAATACACAATTTCACATTTTTAAGATGAATTGAACTGAAGCCTCACTAGAACCTGATAATTGACTTTATTTCGAGTTTGGAAAAGTAATGGTATATTCATAGTACATTTGGAAAAATGTACTATAGTGCATAAAAACAAAAAAAAATTAAAAATGCCTCATTTACTCTAGAAACATAAAATTTTAAAAACAAAAGCATACCTGGGAATGGAGGAGGTAGTGGGCCACGGAAATCCCTTGGTGGAAAATAATCTCGAGGTGCGCCATACATGCTCCCTGGAGGAGGTGGAGGAAAAGGGGGTCCTCTTCTCATGAATGGGCCCCTGGCATCCATTGGAAACATTGGACCTCTAACTGGATGAGGTGGTGGGGGAACAAAGCCAGGGCCAGTTGCTTCACTTTCGGAGGGAAGAGATGAATCAGGCACATTTACATTCTATAAGAAATTGACATATGGCAATCACTGAAACAGCAAAATTTCCCGTTTTCTTGAAAATCATAAGCTTAAAACAAAACCTAAACACCAAATGAGTCTTTGACAGTCTTAAATAGTTCCAGAGATTCTGTTTCCTACATCAGATGAGTTTTAAATATAAATATTTTATTAACTCAATAGAAAACAGCTTTAAGCAACAGTCACAAGAAAAGTTGCCACCAAAATATACAAACATACACCCGGGAAAGAAATTTATATGTTCAAAATGACCAAAACAAAGGTTGTAAACATGGTAAACAATGTGTACTTTGAAATCTTCAAATAATAAAATCCCTAAGGGTAATACAAAAGCTTTTAACTATAATAAAGTAACCTAAGTCTGTACTTTATCACAATTAGTTGCAATCTAGAAAACAAACAGCTGTAATGCTAAATAGAAAGCATATTTTTGTCATAATGAAAAACCATTTTATATGTTAAAAAATAAAGATGGGCTTTTGGGGCAGGCTTTGGGGTTCGGGTTGGAAATAATCATATTATAGTGGTGGGAAGGTGTAATTGTGGTGGGATTGGTGTTGGAATATTAAATGTTATAAATTATTGAAAATAACTAAAAATAAAATTATTTTAAAAAATAAAAAATAAAGATGGTTAAATTTCTATTCTAGAAAACCAAAAGAATAGAAGGTTCCTGAAGGTGGGTAAAATTCACTTTTAATACTTACACCAAGGTCATCTTTGCTATCATTTCTACTGCAGTCCATTTCTGAAGAAGTTGGCCCATCTAGATATAAAGTCAAAACATAAAAAATGCATGATTTATCAGTTCTTCCTAGAATTTACCATATTTATCTCCAGGTCACACTAGAAGGTATGTAAATATTTCCCAACTCCCCTTGCTGATGCAGAGTTCCAACTGGTGCAGATGTCTATGGCAGGATCTGCCAGCCTTTTTGGAGGCAAACCTACTAGCTGCCCTCTCCCTCTACCATTGTCTGTCCATCCATCCCTCCCTCCTTTCCTCTTCCCACTAGATCTTTTTTTCTCCATTTTGTTTTTTTGGCGTGTATGGTTTGGGGGCAGTTATCAGTGGGGACAGAGAGGGTGGGGAAGCTCAGGATCATGCAGTGCTAGGGACCAAACCAGACTTCCACTTACAAAGCATCTCACTGGGCTTTGAGCTGTCTCTGACTCTTCCTTTCTACTTTCCTTCACTCCCTCTCATTCTTTATTTCTCTATTAGATAACAAAGACTAGCACTCATAGCCAGTTTCTAAATAAGCGATCCTTTACTTATAGGCACTTGGAATCTCTAAGAAACTAAACTGAAACAACAAGCTCGGGCCACACAACCATCCTCGCCTGGTTTTCCAGTTAGTCACTCACTGCACCTGTCTCTTCACGTCACTGAAGTTGCTAGTGCTCTGATCGAACTTCTCATACTTTCTTCTTTAAGTTAATGTCAAAGTTCATGTCAGCCAATCCTAGCCCTATTTTTCACATGTACTTAACAACAACAGGCTGGAGCAATAGCACAGTGGGTAGGACGTTTGCCTTGCACGTGACCCACCCAGCCAACCCAGGTTTGATTCTTCCGCCCCTCTCAAAATGCCTGGGAAGGTACTGAGAGTATCTTGTCCGCACGGCAAAGCCTGGCAAGCTACCCGTAACATATTTGATATGCCAAACACAGTAACAAGTGTCACAATGGAGATATTACTGGGCCCGCTCAAGCAAATTGATGAACAATGGGAGGACAGTGATAGTGACTTAACAACATTCAGAGCACTGGGATTCCGTGCCAGGCTGTTTTCACTGGGGGCGGGCGAGAGCCCTCCCCGCTCCAAGGGACTCAGCCTTGGCAGCCGACCCCCAACACGCTCCAGGCCACTTTCCAGATGCTCCAGCCAAGTCTCACGCAGGAGTGAAGTTCCACGGAACCCAGGTAATGCAGAACTTTGTGACCTTGGACTCTGGACTCAATAGACCCTGGAGCAGAGATATTCTGCCTGCTTCTCCCAGTCTCTGGAGACCCAGGGGTCACACCCATAAGCCACACCCTGCTGGCACCAGATAATCTCCTCATTGACCACCCTCCCAGAACTCACAGCTGCTCCTCCCGGACGGGAGTATAAAATGAGGCCCCCATAACCATGCCACCAGACTCCACACCAGGCTGTTTCCACTCGGGGCGCCCCAGATGGGGGAACAGGCAAGAGCCAGCCCTATCCCAAGGGATCAAGCAGCTGATCTCCACTACACAAACACCACCATGCCCCAGGCCACTTTCCAGACACTTCCTACTCGTTTTCCATAATTACCAAACCATGTTTGATGGAGTTCAGACAGTAAGCAACAAATCATAGAATATATATATATATGTGTATCCTGGCAAGCTACCCGTGACATATTTGATATGCCAAACACAGTAACAAGTGTCACAATGGAGACGTTTTATATATATATATATATATATATATATATATATACATATATATATATATGCCTCTCGGAGAGCCTGGCAAGCTACCGAGAGTATCCCACCCGCAAGGGCAGAGCCTGGCATATTCAATATGCCAAAACCAGTAACTATAACAGGTCTCATTCCTGGGACCCTGAAAGAGCCTCCAGTTGTTGGGAAAGACGAGTGAGTAAGGAAAGGCTGCTAAAATCTCAGGGCGGGACGAATAGAGACATTACTGGTGCCCACTCTAGTAAATCAAAGAACAACAGGATACAGTGATACAGTGACACAGTGATACTTATCAACATTCAGCCCTAGATTAATCCAACCCTTTGTTCCCACTCTGACTACACCTGAGCCATGTAGCGCTCACTCCTGGGGCCAAAATTACTGAATACCGCCTAGCCCCACTCAAGGCTGAGAGCTCTCCAGCTTTCCTTCTGCTGCAGATTCAAACCTCCATTCTCCCCAAACCTATAACACCATTTAAAGGCAAAAGGTAAAGGCCCTCCCGTTGATTGTCGATTTGCTCGAGCGGGCCCAGTAACATCTCTATTGGAGACTTTGTTGTTACTGTGTCTGGCATATCGAATACTCTCGGTAGCTTGCCGGGCTCTCCGAGAGGGGCGGAGGAATCGAACTCGGGTCGGCCATGTTGGCCGCTTGTAAGGCGAACGCCCTACCCGCTGTGCTATTTAAAAACTTAAAAAATCCCTTACCTTCTTGTAATCAAACATAAATGTATCATCAAGTATAATCCTATGATTTTCCCTTCTATCACATGAGAGTGATCCTTCTAGACAACCTATGACCCTGATATTATTCTCAAAATCAGCCTCTCTGGCTTCCTCAGTGATCTTTCTCTCTTGCCTCCTTTCCAATCTGGTGGATCATCCCATCAGCAGGTCTCTCCTTGCTACTATATAAAGATGATACCATACAGGACAAAAAAAATCTATTGGGCTTAAGGCACTTGCTTTGCATGCAGCTGACAATAGTTTGATCTGAGGCACCACATATGGTGCCTGAAATTTGCCAGGAGTGATCACTGAGCCCAAGATAAGAGTAAGTGCTGAGCACAGCTGGGCATAGCCCCAAAATCCAAAAATAAACTATCTTTAAAATGAGACCCCCCCCAAAAAATAATTCCCTGTAGCAACCCTTCTCCTTCACAAACTGTTCTTTAAATTTGAAATCCCTCCAATTTTATCCCAGTTTTATTTTAATCTATTTGCAACATCCTTTGTTTTACCAATATTCTTTTTTTTTTTTTTTTGCTTTTTTTGGGGGGTCACACCCGGTGTTGCACAGGGGTTACTCCTGGCTCATGCGCTCAGGAATTATTCCTGGCAGTGTTTGGGGGACCATATGGGATGCTGGGAATCGAACCCGGGTTGGCTGTGTGCAAGGCAAACACCCTACCTTCTGTGCTATCACTCCAGTCCCACTAACTGGTATTTTTTAAGTGTCTTTTAAAAATTAAAATATATACATTGAGCCCTTATATCATGTCTCACCATCGTTGTCTGCTCTCTCCCTCCTTTCATTTGTTGGGGATGGGGGCACCCAAGCTCTACTCAGGAGCAAAGGGGCCAATCCTGCCAATTCTCTGCCTGACAGTGAACGTCAGTCTAAAGGAATACAATTTTTCAGGTCTCGGCAGGTTACTGAGACCCTGAGGTACCGAGTGCAACAAGGACCAGCCTGGTGATACCCAGGAGTCATAGGGGAACACCCAACAGTGCTTCTCCCCTTCTTCCCTTTAAATCATCTGTCTCCAGTTTCTATACTGGACTAGTCATCCCATGTCTTCCATTCTAGCGGATCCATCTCAGTCTCAGTGAGCGCCACTGTCTCTAGCTAATGAGAGTCTATCCACCCATCTATAACAATAATTAATAATAAGTCTATCCTGGAATTCCACCCTCAGCCCTAGTTTCTTCTTTCTCTCCTTGAGAATCCCTCTACTGGATTTAATTTGATGTGTTACAGACAATTACTTCCAAATGTGTAATTCAAATCAAGGTATTTGCCCCACAACTTCAGTTTACTACTTATCTTGAAAACACCTGAGTAGTCATGCAGTTGTATCACAGATGCTGCTAATATCATAAATGTAAGTATCATTTTTAAATCTTTTCTGTCAAACCTCTATGGTGTATTATTTCTTTTACTGTCTCAGAACAGTAAAAGTCTGGTGTCAGAGCCAAAAAATTGGACATCAGCCAGGGGTTCTCACTTCTCCCACATGCCTTCCATCCTCTATCCTCCCATTTCTATTTTTTTTCTGCTTATATCTATCTGTGCCCTTGTGAAATCACCAATATCACAATCAAATTCCTGCAATAGTCTGTAAAGTTACCTTTAGTATGAGGCCCTCAGTTCAATTCTCAACACCACAAAAAGAAAAAAAAATATTCCCTCCAAGCTTGAATACTGTTTTCAAAAAAAAAATTTTTTTTTTACCATTAATGCCTAATGCCTTAGAGTAATTTCTCTAACATTTATTATTTGTTTGAAATTTTTGTTCTTTTATTTTTGGGGGGGGGTCACACCCAGTGATGCACAGAGGTTACTCCTGGCTCATGCCCTCAGAAATTACTCCTGGTGGTGCTCAGGGGACCATCCGGGATGCTGGGAATAAACCCAGGTCGGCTGCGTGCAGGACAAATGCCCTACCCACTGTGCTATCACTCCAGCCCGTTTGGAATTTTTTAATCTATTTTCACTATCCTACAGGTGAACAGGTGAGTTGGCAGAGCCTGGCAAGCTCCTGGCATTCGATATGCCAAAAACAGTAACAATAACAGGTCTCATTCTCCCGATCCTGAAAGAGCCTCCAATCATTGGGAAAGACGAGTAAGGAAAGGCTGCTAAAATCTCAGGACTGGAACGAAGGGAGACGTTACTGGCACCCGCTCGAGTAAACCAATGAACAACGGGATGACAATGATACAGTGATACAGTGATGAATAGGTGAAAATTTCTCAATATATAGAACCAGGAGTAAGCCCAGGGTATTGGCAAGTGTGGCCCAAAACCAAAACAACGAAGCAAACAATTTATCTGAATAAGCAACCCATAGACTTCCACATTTTTTATTCATTACTTTTATCACTAGGTGATGCAACTGCCTTGAATCTTGACTAGGCCTCAAAGCATTAAAAATGCTAAGTTCCCGTTCACCACTTAAATACAGCAACAATCATAATGTCTGTTGTTGAGTAAGTATTCTACAGACATCTGTATCCACAGCTAGGTCCACACCCCTCAGTTCAGTAAAGTAGTTTAGATCAATGTACGAAGACTCTGAAGTCAAACAGACAGGAGTTCTAATATTGTGTCTGATACTTTGAGATCTTGAGCACTTTCAGAGCTTTGGTTTCTTCTTATTTGTTTACTTATCTATTTATTCAGTTTGGGGCCACACCCAGCAGTGCTCCAGGCTTACTCTTAGCTCTGTACACAGGGAACACCTGTGGAAATGCTCTGAGAACCATGTGGCGTGTTGGGGATGAAAGCCTGGTCAGCAATATGCATGACAAGAGCCTTATCCACTGGACTATCAAACCTGACCGGTTTCTTGATCTTTAAGAGATAGTACAGTGGGTAAGATGCTTGTCTTGCACATAACGGACCTCGGGCTTGATCCCCAGCAGTACATATTGTCTCTGAGCACTGCCACGAATGACAACTGAGCTTAGAGCCAGGAGTTTGGCCTGAGTACAATTGGAATTGGCCCAATTTTTTGGCATTCTTATTCTTTAAGATAAGAATAATGGTATCTGTTTCACAGTTCCATCATGAAGATTAAATGATACCTAACATCAATTCAGTGAATACTTATTGAGCACTAACTCTTGTCAGTGTGTTTCAATATGTATTTCTCACCATTATTCTTCATGTAAATACTAGAAACTGACTAACCATTAATAGTATGTACAGAATTTTTCTATTAACAACAAAAAATATCTATACAAAATATCTCATTTCATCCTCAAAAGACCTTTTCAAATTACTATTATCTTAATTTTACAATTTTTACCCACAATTGGGCTGGAGCGATAGCATAGCGGGTAGGGCATTGCCTTGCACGCGGCCGATCCGGCCAACCAGAGTTTCATTCCTCTGCCCCTCTCAGAGAGCCCAGCAAGCTACCCGAGAGTATCTCGCCCACACAGAAAAGCCTGGCAAGCTAACCGTGACGTATTCGATATGCCAAACGCGGTAGCAACAAATCTCACAATGTTACTGGGCCTGCTCGAGCAAATCAATGAACAACGGGAGGACAGTGCTACAGTGATACCCACAATTATGAACAATAAGCAAACAACCATCTTCTACTGGGGCACAGAATCACACCACTCAACTAATTTTTCAAGTTCTCTCAGAAGCAGCTCAAATACAACCTCCTTCATAAAGTTTCCAGATCCTTCAAATACATAGAAGTTCTTCCTATGGGAAAAACAGCATATTCTCTAATGGGACTTACTAATCTGACCAATATTAAAGATAGTATTTATATCTCTCCCTTATTTAATTACTCTCTTCTTAAAACCAGAAACAATACCTTGTTATCATTAAATTATCTGACATGCCATGCAGGATATATTCTAAACAGAAAGCACTTAAAAATCATTTGCTGATTTGGATATTATCCAACTATGAGGAAAAATAGAAACATGAAATATTTTAATAGCACTAGTTAAGAAATGTTGGGACTGAACAGATAGTACTGGAGTTAGGCGTATAGCCAGCCCAGTTCAATCTCCTCAGCACTATATGTGGTCCCTCAAGCCCTGCCAAGAATGACCCCTGAGCAGAGTCAGTACTAAGTACTAAGCACCACCTGGTATTGCACTGCACTGCACTGCACTGCACTCCCACTGTTCATTGATTTGCTCAAGCGGTCAAGCGGGCCCAGTAACGTCTCCACTGTGAGACTTGTTGTTACTGTGTTTGGCATATTGAATATGTCACAGGTAGCTTGCCAGACTTTGCCGTGCGGGTGAGATACTCTCAGTAGCTTGCCGGGCTCTCCAAGAGGGGCGGAGGAATCAAACCTGGCTCGGCCAGGCAGGCGGCTTGCAAGGCAAACGCCCTACCTCTGTGCAATCGCACCACCTGGTATGAGCCAAAAAAATAAGTAATGATCAAAGTTGCAAAAACATTTATTTCATTAAGCTTGTAAAATTAATTTACTAAAATTAATGCCATAGAGCAACTTCAAAAACCAGTCAAGAAAAATTAATTATAATTAATAATAAAAGTGCAGACCACAGACCTGCTTCTTCACTTACTATTCCAAATGATTAATTTACTAAAATATTCCAAGACACTTATTCTCATTTCATGAAATGGGGGGGGGGGGGAGTTATTTGGGCCACAGCCAGCAGTGCTCAGGGCTCACTCCTATCTTACTCAGGGATCACTCCTAGCAGTGTTTGGGGGAATCATATGTGGTATCTGGGATTGAACCCAGGTCTGCTGAATGCAAGACAAGCATTTTACCTGTAAGACTATTACTCCAGCCTTAATTTTCTAAGTATTTTAACTCTTCTATTCAAATTTATATATATAAATTACATATGTTTATATATCACATTTTAATATATTTTAAATATATTTATGGTAGTTTAAGAGTGCCTAACAGTAGTTTGCCCAATAAATGTTAGTCAAATCCATGCTAGAAAAAAATTCTTAAATAAGGAAATTTATTAAACCTATAGAGTATGCACTCAAATTATTTGCCTGGTGGATATTCACACCTACCATTTACATTAGCTTAATTTCCCTGATTACTCAACAGTATATATGTAAGTGAGATGGAAAAGATAAGTCATGTAATGTTGGATAACACTGGGTCGCCCTTGCTCCTCCCACAGGGAGCTCGAGGTTTATTGAGCCACTCCTACAACAGTGCAATTGAGACACACCCAATTCCATCAGGCACTAATAATCCTATATTGCTTTTCTCTTTCCTTTATGTCATTTGCATGGTTTATTTAGCCATCCTTTTTGTATAGACACAGGAAGACAGTTGATGCTATGCCATGTAACATGGGCGTTAACTGACTCCAATATAATATTCATTCCTGGGCATCCACATTTACTTGACTTAAGCCTCAGTTGCCCTTAGTTCCTAGCACTTCAAGAGCAGGGCCCCGACGAGGGACTGAATGGACCCGGGGCAAGCTGTGAGCTACCCTGGCATTGAAATGGGCCAGGCCAAGCACCAGAATACTTAACTGTAAGTTAAGAGCACAGTCATGGACAAACTATGCCATGACCAAAAAGAAATAACTGAATAAGGATCCTGCTGGGGTTAGAAAAGACTTACCTGGCCTGAGGACTTTGGTCTGGAATATATAGAAAGATGTCCTAAGGAAGAGCCATCCTTTAAGCTTAATAAATATATCTCTTAACTGTGTTCATACAAAATGACACTGCTAGAAATATTACAAGAAGTAAATTTACTATGACTGTTTAAATGGATTACTAGTTGAGGAAAGGAAAAAGCAATATACCCTCGATGGAATCACACCCGTCGGTGGATCTCCTAGTAATCTGGAGTGCTGAATCCTCATATGAGATTTTGTCCTTGAGTTAATCTCCTAAAGGAGTGGCCTTTACCTCTCTTTGTTGTTAAGATAATGTTCAACCCCACCTTTGTATCCCCACCCTTCATGATTTCTATATAACTATGCTGTAAGGGGTAAGAGGGAATGAGGTTGAAAATGTTGGGGATTAGATCCTGGGGCAAGATGTTGAAGATGCTGGAGACTAGACACTGAGGACTAGACATGGAGGACGAGAAGGTCGATGATGAGATGTTGAAGATGAGGAGGAGAACTGAGACTCTGGAGACTTTGGGACTAGAAGAATCAGATGATGACGATGACTAGATGACTGGAAGTAGAGGACTATGAGACTACATCGAGACAAGCAAGAGGATATAACAAAGAGAAGGACTTTGAGATCTATGAGACTAGGATAATAGAACTCTGATGAGTGGGACTACGATCAAAACTATGATTAAGACAGAGATCAGACTACACCGATCACAACTATGACTAAGACAGAGATCAGACTACACCGATCAAAACTATGACTAAGACAGAGATCAGACTACACCAGGAAACAGAGAGAAATAAACCAACTATCACCAACCAGCCTGGGGCCAGGTTCCTGTTTATCCATTACCGAGGTCCTATATCCATTACTGAGGTCCTTGCCCATCATCTGGCCTGAGGAGGTGGCTCTCGGCCACTGAATGCTAGAGTGTCCTGCGCGGGACCACTTCATTCCCTTTTCTATTTGAAACTTACAATGTAACACAGTAAATTACCATCACAGCACATATTATATGCCCATTACCATCGTGCCTAAAAGAGTCATCGGCACATACGTCAACATTATGGGTATGTACAATATAACAAGAAACCTAAAACCAGGAAGCTTTCAGAAAAAAATAGTCTTTACTTAAGAGCTCCCAGAAATAGAAACGATATTAGTCATTTATTCAGCTTTCAATATTTCCTTTGGCATTCCACCATTATTAAAAACTTCATACAGAGGACAGAGAAACAGTACCGTGACTAAGGCATTTGCCTTGCACATGACATGGTCAGCCATGGTTTTATCCCCAGCACCACATATGGACGCCCAGAGCACTGTCTGGGCTGATCCCTGAGCACAGAGCCAGGCTAAGCCCTGAGTACTGCTGGCAGTGGCCCAGTCACCGCAAAATAAAATAAAATAAATTTAAAATACACAACACACAAAGTATTCCTTACCTGCTTTATCCAAAGATGGCATATTAAAACTTCTGAGTTCTGCTGGTCCAGATAGTCTACCAGAGTTAGAATAAAATCTGTCTTGCCTTTGTGGAGGAAAAGCTGGATCCGGATATGGTTGGCCTAGAAAATAAGTTTTAAGTGGCTTCACAAGTATAAAAATAGATCAAGTTTACTTTGAATTCAATACATTGAAGGTAGCTATTTCTAAAATATTTCAGCCAATATCCTTGGTATACAACAGCAAATAATTTTAGAAAAATTATATAGTTTACTAAAAAGAATAACTCAGCTTTTATAATATAAAAATATAAAATGCATAACATAATATGAAACTGACACCCAAAGACAGCAAGGGCCAGAGACATTGCTCCATAGTTGAAGCCCGTCTCATGAGCTGGGGGAGAAGGCAGCTGGAATAGGGAAAAGATCACTAGGACAATGATTGTTGGAGGGATCATTCAGGATGGGAGATGTGTAGTGAAAATAGATAAAGGACCAAATGTGACAGCATCTCAGTATCTATACTGCAAACCATAATGTCCAAAAAGCAGAGAGAGAGTATGGGGGAAATTGTCTGCCATAAAGGCAGGGGGAGGATTGGAAAGGGGGAGAGGGGTAATACTGGGGACATTGCTGGTGGAGAATGTGCACTGGTGGAGGGGTGGGTGTTCGATCATTGCATGGCTGAAACTCAAACATGAAAGTTTTGTAACTGTCTCACGATGATTCAATTTTTTTAAAAAAAGGATAAAATGCTATTCTGGTTTTTTGAAAGATGCCTTACTATATATAAATTAGAATATATAAATAGAGGCCTGAGGAGTAGTACAGAGGGTTGGCACTTGTTTCTGCATGAGGCCAAGCACGGTTTGATTCCCAGTACCACTTGGCCCCAAGCACCAACAGGAGTGATTCCTGAGCACAGAGTAAGGGGCACAACCAGGTATGACCCAAAAACAAACAAAAATTTTATATTTAAATGAAACTTAGTTATATATTCATTTAACTTTCAATTTTAATAAGAGAAAGAAATCGATATATCAATATATCGAAGACTGAGGAGATGACTCCTAACAAGGAAAATTTGAAAGTATCATGAAACATTTAAAATGATGATTATCACTCAGAGGATAACAGTGACCAACTTCTCAGTAACTTTAATATTTTAGCAGTTTGACTCCATAGACAAATGAGAAGCTCACAGAACTCCCAGAGCTCAGATGCAGGACAGCTGGACAGACAGACATGTGGGTGCAAACTCCAACTAAATGCTCCCATAGTCACCCTCTCTGATCTCTCACGTTCACTTATGATGACGAACAGGTGCTTCCTAAGTGTCTTGTGGAATTCGTTTTTGAGAAAAATCTATATTGGATGGGTAATGGCAGACTTTGACGTAGCTATGCGTATATTCTCAATTTCAAAACTATGAGGATGGTCAAAGGGGGTGAAGTATGGCAGGAGTATGTCCTCCTGTTGTTCATCGATTTGCTCAAGCAGGCACCAGTAACATCTCCATTGTGAGACTTGTTATTACCGTTTTGGGCATATCAAATACATCATGAGGAGCTTGCCAGGCTCTGCCATGCAGGCAGAATACTCTCGGTAGCTTGCCAGGCTCTCTGAGAGGGACAGAGGAATCGAACCCAGGTCGGCTGCATGCAACGCAAACGCCCTACCGGCTGTGATATGGCTCCAGCCCTCATTCTCACAGATATGGGAAAAATAAATACACAAAATTTAGTTCTATGCCTATACTTGAAGTATATATGCCTATACATGAAGAGAGCTCCATACGATATTGGATCTCCCTTCTCATCCAATTCAATCACCTGGGACCTTAATGACACACCTTCTGCATTAACCAGAGTTGGAGAGAATTAAAGCTCATATTTAATGAGCTCTCAAGGGGGGATATGACTTAGGCCTGAGGGGGAAAAATCCACACTGTTTTGGAAGTTCATTTTCTACCCCCTTTCAAATGTAAGTAAAGTGCCATTTCAACAAGTCAGAACGAGTTCAATAAAAGAAAAGATACACCAACCACTGAGGTCAAAACTGGAGTTTTTCCTACCTCAAATATGGTATTAACAGAATGGCAGGCTTAGGGCGTGAAATAAAGAAATCTGAAACCCTCTAGACACTTTCTTAATCAGGTAACAAAACACCATATTACTATTTTGCTTCTAAAATACATACAATATCACAAACCCCAGAAATGCAGTTTTGCTACAAGTTTAATATTTAATAAAACACACCTTGCACATTGCTCTCAACATACAAAATTGATTCATTTCTTATATATTAGGGTATTATATGTCAAGTGCTATTTATAGAAAGTCAGTTCTTATAGCCAAATATTCAAAATGATGCAAAAACAAATAAATGATGCAAAAACTATGTGATCAATGCCTTAGTAAAGAGGCATACAAATAATATGTAAAGGAGCTTAAAGGTGCCAAAACAGGTAAATCTTGCCCCAAAAGAAAGTTTAACAAGTAAACCAAGGTATTTTGCTCAATCACAAATACATTCATACATATACATACTCAATATAATCAGCTAAAGTATGTGAAAGAGATACCACTAGTGAAAGATTAAAAATCAAGAGTATATCTCATGGTGATTCAGTTAAAAAGTTTTTTAAATCAAAATAATAAAATAAATAAAATCAGAAAAGACATGAACAATTCCACTTTTTCCTTTCATAGCTTTAATCTTGCCAGAAGGAAGCTGATACAAGTGGACACTAACACTCATCCTCAACCAACTGCTACAACTGGACTCTCTTGCTCTGCCTTCATCATAAAATGGACAGTCATTCTGTCCATATCTAATTCCTCAATTGCATTCTGGATCCCATACCCTTTTTTTCTTACTTAATGATTTCACTTTTACAGTTGTACCCTTCCACCTACATAATCAATTTCTCTTTTCGCTCATGAATCATTTCAATAATTCATGGAATTAATTAAACATGCAATACACTGCAAATAAACATGCAATATTTTCCATCTTTAAAAAAAAGCAAACTGCAGATTTGGAGATAGTACAGTCAGTAGGGAGGCTGCCTTGCATACAGCCAAACTAGGTTCAATCTCCAGTGCCCCATACAGTCCCCTGAGCACAACCAGGATGATCCCTGAGTGCAGAGCAAGGAGAAAGCCCTGAGCACCGCCAGGTGTGGCCCCAAAACAAAACAAAACAAAACTTCTTTTTTTTTTTTTTTTTTTTGCTTTTTGGGTCACACTCGGCAATGCACAGGGGTTACTCCTGGCTATGGACTCAGGAAGTATTACTGGTGGTGCTTGGGGGACCATATGGGATGCTGGGAATCAAACCTGGGTCAGCCACATGCAAGGCAAATACCTACCTGCTGTGCTATTGCTCCAGCCCCAAAACGAAAATTCTTAAAAAGAATCTCTGAAAGAAAAGTAACATGAGGACACTGGTGGAAGCTCTTAGATACTCTGGTGGTAGAAAGGAGCAGTAACTACATAGATTTATGTTAATAAACCTAAACACTATTGCAAACATGTGACACAGACTGCAACTAAAAAATCAATTTAATTTTAAAACTATTTTTTTAAAAAAGAAAGAGAGATGATGTTCTAGGATCAGAGAGATGGCACAATGGGTTGAATGCAAGTTTTGCAAGCAGGAGACCCAGGTTCAATCCCCAGCATGACATGGTAACCCAAGCATCATTAAGAGTGACACCTGAGCACTGTCACGTATGGTACAAAAAAAAACACAAACAAACAAAAAAAAAAAACATGATCTCTTATCTCCAAATCCTCAATGTGAAAATCACAGCATATAAAAGGAATTAAAAACAATAAAGACATCCATATTGGGGGTAGCAAGAGAAAACATTCTGTAATGTGAATTATCATTTGAAATTTGGTTCCAATAATTCATTTTCTAATGTACCTAATCATGATGGTGCCTAAGATAGAGCACCAAGTTTACTCCTTATTTCTTTCCAATCCCTCTACATGTGACATATTCAAGAATATAAAGCAATTATAGTTTTTCTGTACCTGAGGTTGGGATCATCATCCTACGATCCTGGTCCCATGGAGGTGAGAGGGAACCAGTGTCGGATGGTGCTCTATGAGGATCAGTTAAGCGATCACTTGATTCTCCTCTTTCATTAGCCATGTGATGATCCAGAGGATTCCCTGGGCCTCTTGAGCCTAATTAAAAGGAGGGAAATGGTAGTTACTAATAAAATAGTATACAAGACCTTTAATCAAATAAAGACACTTTATAAAAAGTAAAAACAATCAGATTCCAACAAAATTTCCCTAAAATACTATAACTATCCTACCAAAGTCATTTTTAGGACAATAAGAAAAGGTAATTTTGTCACATTAATAAATAAATACTTGACAAAAATTATTGTTGCTTAGACTGATATTAATATTTGCCAACAGTACAGGAATTCTTTCAAAGTCACTTTAAGGGTTATACACTTACTCAAATATTCTGCATTTACACAAAGTATTTTTAGAACAATATTCTCGGAAATGTACTCAGGTTGAGTCACTCTAAAAATTACATCTCAATGTCATTTAATATAATTTTCTACTGCCCCAAAGTGATTTGGACCAATCTAATTACAAGTATTATACCCACCAAAAAATTAGGCTATTTTCTGTTACTAAATATCAAATTCATCCTCAAAAGGTCTATAGCTCTGAAAGCAAATTTAAATAAACTACAATTTCAAAAACAGCAACTCTACTGAAACAAATGCTTTAAATAAAATAACATTTATTTGGCAAAAAAATCTGGTATGTTTATATTTAGAAATGAGAAGAATAGTGCTATGTTTATTTGGTTCTGGGGTCACACCTGGTAGTGCTTGAGGGCTACTCCAGGCTCTGTGCTGGGGTCACTCCCTTGAAGTGCTTAAGAGGCATGTGTTGCCAGGGATCAAGACAGCATCTCCTTTACACAAAGCATCCACCAGTCCATTTGAGCTACCTCTCTGGCATAAGGGAAAGTCATTTTAAAGTTCCCTTCTGAAAGTACAATCTCTTAATAAACAACATTCAATTAAAATGGAAAAAATTGAAATGTTTAAGCATTAAATAACAAAATATATTATAGGCACTGAGGAGAAAATGAGGTCATCTCAAACTTATATTGTCCAACAAAAGTTTGTTCCTGGGGCTCCGGCATTGGCACAAAGAGCTGGTGTGGGACTGGAGCAATAACACAGCGGGTGGGGCGTTTGCCTTGCATAAGGCTGACCGGAGTTCAATTCCCAGCATCCCATATGGTCCCCTGAGCACTGCCAGGGGTAATTCCTAAGTGCAGAGCCAGGAGTAACCCCTGTGCATCTCCAGGTGTGACCAAAAAGCCAAAAAAAAAAAAAAATCGTTGCCATGCATACTCTGCCTTTAGGAGCCCAGATTCAAACCCCTGGTAACCATAAGTACAGTCTTGGGAGTAAGTCTCAAGCACTGCCAGTTGCCAAAACTGAACTTAAAAACTTTCTTTTTTTCAGGACCAGAACAACAGTACAGCGGGTAGGGCATCTGCTTTGCACATGGCCAACCCAGGTTCAATCCCCACATTCCATATGGCCCCCTGAGCACCGCCAAGAGTGATTCCTGAGTGCAGAGTCAGGAGTAACCCCTGAGGATTGATGAGTAGAACCCAAAAAAGGAGGGAAAAAAGCTTTCCTTTTTCTTAATAATCTCTCTAAACTGCTTTCCACATTTCAGTACCTCATTTAAGGGAAAATACTAAAACTAATTTTCTTGAACTTAATACAAACCAGCGTAAACATTCTCTTTTTGGTGGGCTGGCATATCTAGCAGGTAGGTTGTGTTCAAGTGCCTGAAATCAATCTCTCCTGCCCTAAACAATTATATAGGTCAACTCTCTTATTACCAGGTAAAAGATCATAAACTTGAAAATGTTAAGATTTAAAAATTTTATTAATAACAAATTTATATACAACTTATTAAAAATTACTTTGCCTGTATTTTTAATCTTGCTCAAAATTATTTCAACAAAACTTTCAAATTTAAAACTTGTTTATAACATACTTAAAATGTCTAAGGCTTTCTAACAAATAGTAAAACACCATGGCAAATAAACATACTATTCTTGAAAGTAATTTTAAAAGAGAGGAAAGAATTTGAGTAGGAGAGGAGAAATGAAAGGTAATTTTCAAAGTTGCTCCAAATATTCAGTTGGCTACAAGCAATCCTTGACTTATGTCATTAGTTAAGTAATTATCTAATTACTTAAATTTGCAGTTCCATCAATAAAACTTCTTTCTGGCTTCTTTGTTTCAGGCTGTTAGCCATAACTCATTATGGTGAATGAAATTAATCTACTCTAAATAACCAATTTTTAAAAAGTGAAATAAATTATAACTGAATATAAAATATCTGTGAGATTAAAAAAAAATACATGCCACATACCTAGGCCTGAGCACTGACACATCTGCCCAGTTGGCTAAGTTATCAATGGGAGATGGTCCAGGGACTCCAGAGCTTGGCTTCACAAGGCCCCCAGCAATCCCCTCTCCCCACTCCCAAAAAAATGGGGACTAAGGGATGACAATAAAGAAGAAACGATCAACTCTTAAAAATCAAGAATTTGTGGCTGACAACCTAAAAACTTTGGAGTTCAAGAACAACAAGGTTCTTTATCTTGAAACTTGATCATAATTCAAAAGACTTTTAAAGTAACTTAATAAAGTGAACAGGGGCTGGAGCAATAGCACAGCGGATAGGGTGTTTGCCTTGCATGCGGCCAACCCGGGTTCGATTCCCAGCATCCCATATGGTCCTCTGAGCACCGCCAGGGGTAAATTCCTGAGTGCAGAGTCAGGAGTAAACCCCTGTGCATCGCCAGGTGTGACCCAAAAAGCCAAAAATAAATAAATAAATAAAGTGAACAAAATATAGGGTGAGGGGGACACACTCAGCTATACGCCTAACTCTATGCTCAGGGGACCATATGGAATGCCAGGGATCAAAGCTGGGTCAGCCGTGTGCAAGGCAAGTGCCTTACCTACTGTACTATCTCTCTAGCTCTCAATTTTTTTTACTTCTTATTCTATCTTATCAAAACACAATTTATACTAGGTTTCCCTCTATGATATTCTCTATGATTTGTTGCCTACTGTCTGAACCCCATCAAATATGGTGTGGTAATTACAGAAAATGGGTAGAGTGTCATATCATAAAGGTAAATATTTATATGCCTCTCAGAGAATCCAGCAAGCTACTGAGAGTATCCCGCCCGCACAGCAGAGCCTGGCAAGCTTACATGGCATATCCGATATGCCAAAAACAGTAACAATAACAGGTCTTATTCCCCTGACCCTGAAAGAGCCTCTAATACGTTGGAAACAAAAGTAAGGAGAGGCTGCTAAAATCTCAGGGCTGGGATGAATGGTGACATTACTGGCGCCCACTCTAGTAAATAAATGAACAACGGGATGACAGTCATACAGCGATACTAGGTTATAATATCATTGTATTTTTATGTGCTTTTTTAGGTCATTTTATATTATGTAGTAAAAGATATAGTTAAGGGGCTGGAGCGATAGCACAGTGGGTAGGGCATTTTGCCTTGCACACTGCCAACCCAGGTTCAATTCCCAGCATCCCATATGGTCCCCCCGAGCACCGCCAGGAGTAATTCCTGAGTGCATGAGTCAGGAGCCCTGTGCATCGCCGGGTGTGATCCAAAAAGAAAAAAAAAAAAAGAAAAGAAAAGAAAAGGTATAGTTAAATATGATTTTAAATTATATAAATCAATTGTTCAAATACAATTATTTTTATGTGTATGACTCGCATTATGTATATGGTGCGAGTGATAAATACAAAATTAGATGACACTGAAATTCTTTTCCAAACAAAAGTAAACAGCAAGTACAAGGAATGCATGTATTTTCCAAAAGTCTATTTTAAGGATCATTTTTGAGAGATAAGTTGAGATGAGAATAAAAGGGAAGAAATCTAGAATAATAAATACGTTTAAATATACCTCTTCCTCCTCCCCCTGGAAGCAAAGGTGAGAGTCTGAGTGGACCCTCCAACAAAGTTGGAGGGGAGAGAAAAGCTCTCGTTTCAGATGAAGGTCGACCCAATGGTGAGGGACCATATGGGGAATGCTCTGGAATAATTAAAACAGCATATTTAAATTCGTAATTTCAATTAACTACACTACAGATTAGAATTCCACTTCAACAATTACCTTCAGGTCATCCTACCAACAATTTATGTTTAATCCGTACACTAATTCTGCCTTGGATTTTACTAAAACAAAATTAAATATGGAACCCAGTGCTTTAAAGTCTGTCAAATGGACACTTTAGTCAACAGAAGTATTATTCTCTTGGTAACTAATACACTTGAAGAATCACAGATTACTAGGTATTTTGGAGCTTTAAGGAGATTTACATGACATGAAGTTTGTTTGTTTAAAAAAAAAAAACACTATTTTTCCAGTACTTCAGCAACTGAAGGATGTAATCTGAAAGGGCTCAGTATAAATCTGGGCTCATTTAGTCAAGAAAGACTATAATGGACCAGTAATTATTTGGATCAATAAGTTTTAAAACTAAAACAAAATAAACAAAAAACAGTATTTGGGAGCATCAGCTAATACTTTTGATTACCAATGAAAAGATAGTCTTGGCAAACCAATTCATCAAATAAATTACCATTTAAAAACATATAAATCAAGAGCCCTATCATTTTACAAGCTTCACTACTCCCAAGTAATGATTATTCTTTCAAAGACTAAAAATTTACATAAAAAAAACCTAAAAATCACCAAAATATTTTCAAATGTTAATATTTACTGTATAACTTATATAATATAGTTATAAAAGAGCAAAGCATTGTTTGCCCAAAGGACTTGCATTAATCAGACAAAAATTTCTTCTTTATAATTTCTTTTCTGAAATTTGCATTATTTGCTGTTTCTACAACTCAAAAACACGTTCATGTTAATGAAACTCCCTAAAGTAACTTTTATAGCATTAACAGCTATCAAAATGTAATTACACAAAAAATAAGGGTAGGTTTATATTCACTCCCTCAGAAAGGTAATTCAGTACAACTAAAATTATTTGTATATCCACAAATATACACATTTTGTCACTTTGTAATTCATGGTGATGGAATAAAAAACAAATTGAAAAATATTATTTAGATATATTTCAGTACTGAAATAGTATGAGATCATTAAAGTGGCTAACTTCTAAAAAGACAAAAATAGTCAATATACCTTGGAAAGAAATCGTCCCCTCTTGGGTGTAATTAAATCAACAAAAGCTCAAATTATTAATGTTTTCCCAACTTTCTGTTATTATCATTATTATTTTTGCTGTGCGAGGGATCAAACCCAGGGTTCCGCACATGAAAGGCAAATGCTCTACTACTAAATGCTAAATACTAAATACTAAATGCTAAAGGCAAATGCTCTATCCCTGGCTACTCACCTTTCAAACAAGTACTTTTAAATACCTTGAAAAGAAACTTTTTGTTTCATTCTTACAAGCCAAGTGAATTCCAAAGAATTAATAATACGTGGACAGTCACAAGGCTATTCCTTTAATCACTTCTTGTTCATTCTTCAAAATAAATAATTTATTAGTATCTTACTATAAACCAAGCCCTTTGCATTTTTTGTGCTCTGGTACTAAATATAACATCAGTTTATACAGCCCCACTGAGAAAAGGAGGCAGCCATTAAGTGCGAGGGAAATAAAACTGAAAAGACCTGAGATTGTAAAATAATTATGTTGTGATTCTAATTCCAAGATCTAGAGTTGCTTATGATAATGTCAATTTATACTAATATAAACTGTGCAACAGATATATGTAGTTTAAGTAAGAGGTTAAGAAAAAAAAGACTACCTCTGCCAAACGCTGTATTTGGAACATCAAATGCATAAGGATCTTTCTCTAAAAGTTCAAATTTAAGTTCTGTTTCAGTTAATCTGCAAATGAAAAAACATCCCTAAATTACTGGTCCAAAAGCAGCAGCCACATTTCAAGGAAAAAACACTATTAATACAAGCTACTCCTTATACAAAATGCACATTGAAGAAACAGATCCTTTAAAATTACTTCACCAAAATTCTTAAATCCCCCAGTACTTATTTTGAACAATTTCTTTCTGTATAGAGACAATGACATCCTGTTAAAGTTTAAAATTGTTTTGTTATCTACTCAATACTAGATTACAAGGAGTACTATATTACAGAATTTAAATTTTAGAAATAAGGTATCAAAGTCAATCAGTTCAAGTTTGTCATCTCACTACTAAAAACAACTGAGGATTTTAAATGATGCATCCAAAATAAAAGTGCCACGAGTAAAACAATGGACTCCTGGCTCTGTGTCACGTAAGTTTTCCATTGTAATGTTACCCATATGACTCCAATTATAACATACAACAGGAATCTGATGAGCTCATTCTACCAGCCTAAAGGCTTTACCTTTTAAAATGTGACATTTAAATGAGCCTTATTTTTGTTTTAGTATTTAACTACTGGACTGGAAATGAAACGCAAGTCATTTCAATTTTTGAGTACAAATGGCAAAAAAAAAAAAAAACTAATATTGGATAGTAACAGAACATCCTGCCAAGAAATTAGAAGACACAAAACTTTTACAAACTTACAAGACAGCATTCACTCTTCCTTTTTATTGTATATGGTACACTTTTATTCTCCCTTTCATTTACTACTGTAACACAATTTCATCTAATATAAGCAGATAATGAGAAATATTTACTGCATCCACATAACCATTAAAAAATGCTACTATGCAAAGAATTACTTTGTCAGAGACTGACTCCTCTCTTTCTCTCCCTTGATCTCCCTCCTTTTCTGCTATACTAATATTTTTTTGTTACACTTCTTATATATAATAAGCATTTAAGTTTCCTTCTGTTAGAATGACCTAAGATAAAGCGTTTAAAACTCCTGATAAAAAATTATTTCTTATTATTAATATTTTCTACTGTAATCTTTATTTATCATAACTGAATTAACTAATAAAATAACTAAAAATAAAAGCAATAATGAAAGTTTTCCAATTTCCCACTAAGATACTTACTTTTGTCTGTTCTGAGCATTTTCTTTCTTTAAGTCATTGAGATTTCTTTCAGCAGTCCGAGCTGCCAACTTAAAGAAAACAACATATTTTTTACAATACATTATATAAACTTTAAAAATAAGTATGTATAGATATTATTATAGTCACTGTATACAATTATATAAATCACCTAAATACTTATAACAGTAAACTCGGTAAAAAAAAAAAATTAACATAGCGACTAACTTTAAAAAGAAATTATGGCCAGATAGCAAAATGGATTGGAAAGCAAGCTTTGCATTTGGGAGGAATGAGTTCGATCCATTATGATACACTCAGTACCACCAGCAATGCCTGAGTGTAGAATCAAGAATAAGCCTGAAGAGTGACCTGCCACAGAGGCAGGGTGGGATGGGGGGGTTGGGGAGGGTGGGAGGGATACTGGGATTGGTGAGGGTGGAGAATGGGCACTGGTGGAGGGGTGGGTACTTGATCATTGTATAACTGAAACCCAAGCACAAAAATTTGTAAGTCTACAACTGTACCTCAAGGTGTTTCACTATTAAAAATTTTTTTAAAAAAAGAAGCCTGAACACCCACAGGTGTGGTTCAAAAACACAAACACACACACAATTTTTAAATATCAAATATAGTAGCATTATTTATTTCCTCTTTGTACTTTCTACATGAAAGTTTGTTTATTGTCTGTTTTCTTTTGGGGTCACACCCAGAAATGATCGGTGGTTACTTCTCACTCTGTATTCAGAAATCAATCCTGGTGGGCTCAGGGACCATGTAAGATGCCCAAGATCTAACTGGGTTGGCCACATACAAGTTAAGTGCCCTACCCAATGTACATTGCTCTGGCCCCTATTGTTTATTATTTTATAAAAATTTGAAAAATATCTTCATCATTACACACACAGGGCACACTTTCTGCATGTTTTAAAGTGTGTTACCATTTGCTAAAGAAAAAAATTTCAGGGCAAGAGAGATAGTACAATGGATAAAGTGCATGCCTTTGCACAAGGTCGACCTGAGTCAATCTCTGACGCCATATGATCCACCAAGCCCTGCCAAGAGTGACACCTGAGCACAGAGCCAGGAGTAAGACATTAGCATCACTTTCTGTGAACCATGAAACAAACAAAAACAAAAAAAGGAGTGAAAAGAACAAGGCTTAAAACCTAACAGAACCAAATTTTTCTCTACTCTTCATTTCTGACCATGTAAACCTGGACTGCTCTGGCATCTGAAAAACTTAAATTATAAGGGCTGGAGCAATTATACAGCGGGTAAGGTGTTTGCCTTGCATGCAGCCGACCCAGGTTCAACTCCTGGCACCAAGCCTCAAAAGGAGTGATCCCTAAGTACTGCCAGGTGTGGGCAAAAAAACCCATGAATTATAATATCTATATTACAGTTATGAATAAATCTCTCCTCTTTCTCTTTTTTCCTCCCCCTTCCCCCTCCCCTCCTCCCTTCTCCACCTCCCTCCCCTCCACTCTCCTCTCCTCTCCCTTCCTTTCCCCCCTCCACCTTTCTCTCTGAGCCATCTTTTAAAAATCACCTGCGTCTGCCACAAACTGATGCACCTGTTAGAAAGTGGTGGGGAGGGGCCGAAGTGATAATACAGTGGTAGGGTGTTGCCCTTGCATGCAGCCAATTCGAGTTCACTCTCTGGCATCCCATATAGTTCCCTGAGCACTGCCAGGAATAATTTCTGAGTGCCGAGCCAGGAGTAACCCCTGAGCACCTCTGTGTGTGTGCGACCCAAAAAGTCAAAAAAAAAAAAAAAGTTAAATACAATGATTTTTTATTAAAAAGAAAGAAAGAAAGAAAGAAAGAAAGAAAGAAAGAAAGAAAGAGAAAGTGGTAAGTAACGTCAACTAAATTTATCTCAAAACCCAGTTTAAGGCTGAGAAAAAAACACAAAAATGAGTGTTTGCTTGCCAGGCACATAGATGACTCGAGTTCATTCCCTGGAAGCACATAGGGTCCTCTGAGCCCTACCCGGAGAGATCCCTGAGTGCAGAGCCAGGAGGAAGCCCTCAGCACTGCCACATATGATCCAAATGAAAAATAAAGAAATAAAAACCCAGTTTAATAAAAATTTTCACTTAGCTAGAGCGATAGCACAGCGGTTGGGCGTTTGCCTTGCACGCAGCCAACATGGTCGACCCGAGTTCGATTCCTCCGCCCCTGTCGGAGAGCCCGGCAAGCTACCGAGAGTATCTCGCCCGCACGGCAGAGCCTGGCAAGTTTCCCATGACGTATTCAATATGCCAGATACAGTAACAACAAAGTCTCCAATGGAGACGTTACTGGGCCCGCTCGAGCAAATCGATGAACAACGGGAGGACTGTGACCGTGACCGTTTCACTTAGCTTTTAACCCAGAAACACACAAAATCTTAGAACTGTGAAGGATTTTAACATTCACTATACCTAATTTTTCACCCTTACAATCTCCATGCCAAGTAACATTATCCCTAAAAATATCTTCCAGACTTCTATATAATAATTACTGAATACCAGTAAGTATTAGGTGTCAGGCACAAAGCTAACAACAGTCTTAGGTAAGGTATTTAATCATCACAATAACACTATGAAATAGCAAGTACTGGTATCTCCATCCTATACGTAAGGAAACTGGTGACAGGTGATAGAGCCAAGATAAGTACCTGAACAGGCAGTCTCAAAACCCCATGTATCACCCACTATGCAAAATGCTTCCCCTTAAAGGGCCAATTATTACAAGATTTCTATACATTAGAAGAATCATTCTTATAACCAAGTCAAAATCTGTATCCTTATTTCCTCCATACAGCTCCTCTGAAGTTCTGACATACCATTTTACATATTGGTCTCTTCCCTAAGATGTATCAATTACTTAACATTGAGAATCAGGTGGCATGCTAGTGTTAATTTTATGAGTGAAATATCAGCTGTGTGATTTTCAACCTTATACTCCTGCAGACTGACACTCGTCCAAGGATTGGTGGTTGAAAACCACTGATTTAGCCCAATGCCACTGATTTATACAAGAGAAAATAAACACAGATAATTTTTTTTAAAACAGATAATTTTAAGTTATTTGTACACAAATAATTAATGGTAATCCAGTGTCCTGGAGCAAGAATCCACAAAAAAAAGTGGCTTTTCCCAGAAAAAAATATAAGCTTCCTGTGACTAATGTGCTGATGCTGACTTATTTTTTAATCAAAAAATCTTAACTATTTAAAAAGTACCATCTTTATTTGTCATGTAAAAGTATATCTTTATACACTGTTCATTTAAGTTAGAAAAAAGTAATTTTTTAAAAAAGGTTAGGGGGCTGGAGCAATAGCACAGCAGGTAGGGCATTTGCCTTGCACGCAGCCGACCCGGGTTCGATAACCAGCATCCCATATGGTCCCCTGAGCACTGCCTGAGTAATTCCTGAGTGAATAAGCCAGGAGTAGCCTCTGTGCATCGCTGGCTGTGACCCAAAAACCAAAAAAAAAAAAAAAAAAAAAACCTTAAGAGTGGCTGGAGCATTAGCACAGGGGTAGGGCATTTGCCTTGCACACAGCCGACTCAGGTTCAATTCCCAGCATCCCATATGGTCCTCTGAGCACTGCCAGGGGTAATTCCTGAGTGCAGAGCCAGGAGTAACCCCTGTGCATCATCAGGTGTGACCCAAAAAGAAAAAAAAATGTGGATGTGGAACTGGGGACACCAGTGGTGGGAACTGTGTACTGGTGAAGGGTGTGGGTGTTGGAACACTTTCAATCAAGAACAACTTTCTAACTATCTCACGGTGACTCAATTAAAAAAAAAAAACTTTTTAAAGTCTAAGATAATCTAATACTTACCCAATTATCATGTGCTTTTTTCTCATGGGAAATAATCTGGAAAAAAAAAGTCATTAAAATACTACTGATGACTTTTTTTTAAGTAAAAAATATTCATATTTACCAATTTACCACTATTATTTAGTTCACAAGTCAGAATCACAACTTACTCAAACATCCCTGAGGCATAAATAACACTTTAAGGCAAATTTTCAAGCATATGATCTACTATACTTTTAAAACAAAACAAATAATTTTTTTTGGTCTGATAAGTTTCTATTTTGTGCAATAATCATCTACAGTAATAACTGCTAATTGAGAAAGAACTATCCCGTAATATGTAGACCCAATCTGTAAGACCCCGATTACTACAAATGTTTGTTTACTTATGCAATCCACATTCCCAATGTAAAATAAGACGTGGAAACTTTAAATATTTCTTATCCTGGAATCTTGATCCAGTAGAAATGTTCCACATCACATGCAACATAAAGAGTGGTGTTCAATAGTCAATTCAAATATAGACAAAAATTATTTAGACACACATACAGACACACATACACATATACCTGCCCTTGATAAGAATGAATGGTTCTTTCCAATTCTTCTTCAAGATCTTTGGCTCTCTTCCTATAATAAATAAATAACTTTATTATTGAAATTATTAAGATATCTAGAATTCTTAATTTCATATAAAAAATTCTGATTTCACCTGTTAATCACCTTTAAGAGAATATACAGTATATTTTTTTCTGATATAATTTAACATTAAACTTTAAGAGTATTATAACGGGTAATACAAAAATTTGTAGAAAATATTGATTTATTTTTAAAAAATACTAATTTTAGAAGACTTATTCAGATGCTTCTAACTTTAGCATAATTCTAGGAAATCAATAATCTGTATAATACAAAATACTATGTATCATTATGAAACTAGTAACTCCTTTTTTATGATAAAACTCAAACTTAACTTTTTAATATAAGATTAAATATTCCAACTATTTACAATGCTGCTGAATACTGCACTTGATTTACTTTATATTTTTTATCATTTCCATGGAACTAAAGAGGAGTAAACCCAAGATAAAACCTAGACTTGTAGTTTTGTAAATTTTTAAAATGTTTCCTCAGAACATTTTGTGCCTTATTCCTTTACCAAATATTTCATAGTCTGTTTAAATGTTATACATTCTTCCCCACTGCACCAAAGGGGAATGACTTTGAAATTAATATTCATAAATTTCTTTTGATATTAACACAAACTACAATTGCCCATGCTCAAAGACAACTAATGTGAGATTTAAAATAACAGCGATTGTAACCCAAACATGAAAGCCTGTAACTATCTCACGGTGATTCAATAAAATTTTTAAAAACTTTTAAAAAATAAAATAGTGAAAGAAAAACATATTTTGCATTGGACATTTTCTGCATGACTGCATTAAGTAGATAGACATCTATTAAAATGGATAAAACAAATGGTTTTATCTGGGGTGGTGCTGCTTTATTATTCTTTCTGGTAGCACACCTTCTGCATCTCAAGATGAAAGATGTGGCACAGGAGTGGAGATGCCTACCTTGCATGCATGAGGCCACAAGTTCTGTGAGCCCCAAAACCAAGTGCAACCCAGGGGAATACAAGCAAGCACCACAACCAGACTACAAAGCCCAGCATCCCAACAAAAAAGATAAGGGACGGGTAAAACTTTTAAAATAAGAAAATAAAATATTTAGTACCTATACATCTCCAGCTCTTCAGTTGCATAGCTGATCTTTTCATCTGCTTTAGACAGTTTCTCTTCTTTCTCTAACCGGTAATTTTCTTCTACTGTCAGTTTCCTTCAAACACAAAGTATTTTATTCTTTTACTGTATATCATAAAATAGTAAATCTAAATCAAGTTATATCTTAAAAGTATTAAGCAATGTATACAATACTAATAAAGCCATCACATGCAGGTGGGGGAAAGTACCTGTGTGACCCCCCCCAGTGCAACATTTTATTGTAACTCAAATTATAAAGTACCTGTCTTGTACCGTATTACTAATACAGAAATTCCAAGAGTTTTCTGTAAGAATTTATCATAAAGGAAGCAGGGTAGAACATATGCTTTATATGTGTGGAGGCATGGCACAAAAAAATAAGAGATTTCTAAAAATCATATAAGCAGATAAGTATTAACAAAAATTATTATGAACAGATATTATTTCTCAATCCATCTTTGTTTTGTTGAGGCTCCCAGACAATGATCAGGGGGCCCCAGCGAGCCACTCTTAGAGGTACTCAAGCCAACTGAGCTGGAGTAGTCAACTCCCGGGCCAAGGCCATATGTGCTAGAGTCAAGAAGCAGCATGTGATGAAGACATTAGCTATACCAAACTACACCTTTGAGCTATATCAAGCTTTCTTTATTATTTAACTAAATTATTTAGCTTTATTTAGAGAAATATGAAAAGAGAGACAGAGAGAAAGGAGGGGCAGAGAGGGCGAGAGATCTAGGAAGCTTTCTTTTGGGGGGCAGAGAGAAGTGGGTCACACCTGGAGATGATTAGGGGTTCCTCCTGGCTCTGCACTCAGGAATTAACTCCTGGAGGTACTCAGGGGACCATACGGGATGCCAGGGATCAAACCTGGGTCAGCTGCATACAAGGTCAGTGTCCTATCCTCTGTAATATCTCTCCTGTCCCTTAGCAAGCTTTCTTGATATTGCTCCTGTTAAGGAGCTCCCATCAAGCCTTATTAAAGCATTATACTTAGGCAAGAACTCATCAAATTATGAACCCATTTCAATAACTTTGAGAGAGGGGTTTGGGGCAACACTCAGCAGTGCTCAGAATTTACTCCTGGCTCTGCAGTCAAGGATCACTCCTGGTAGCGCTCAGGGAGACCATATAGGGTGCCAGCAATTGAACCCAAATAGGCAGTGTGCAAGACAAATGCCCTACCCACTGCACTATCACTCAGACCCCATAGTTTCAGTAATTTGAGGACGGGGGTGATGGTTAGGGCCACACCCAGCAGTGCTCAGGGCTCACTTCTGGCTCTACACTTAAGCATCATTCCAGGCTTGCTTGACAGAGGGAGAAGAGGGAGGTACGTGGAGGGTAGGGTGTGCGGGGTGGGAGGGTGGACACCATACGGGGTGTCGGGAATCTAACCCTGGTCGGCTGCATGCAAAACAAGCGCCTACTAACTATACTATCCTCAATAATTATTAAGCTAATTGTTAAGTTAAGATAATGATCAGGTTTCCAAACAACTTCATACACTCATAAACTTACAATAAATCCGAAGTAAAAATTAGCATGTCTACTTACTTCTAATTATTTTAATAGCTAACTACTATTAATATAAATTACTATTATTTAAATAGCCAACTATTATTTTAATAGCTAACTTACTTGTATGTGCTATATTCTTAGACCTCAACAAGTATGATCTAAATTATAGCAGTAAGAAGGATTCTACTGGGTCACAGACATAGAACAGGGGTTAATTCCTTGCATTCTTGCATTCTGCTGGCCCCAATTCAATCTCCTGCATCACATAGCTCTTGGAGAATCTCTGGAAGTATCCTGAACACAGAACTAGAAGTAGCCCCTGAACACTGCCAAGAATGACCCCAAAATCAAAAAACAAAGGTCACTGTTTACAAAAAAAAAGGAATACAGAGATCTAGGTAACTAGACCAATACACAAAGTTAGCTGGCAGTCATTCCCTTATACTATAGTCCCCATGTTATTCCTCATGGTTTCATTAATAACACTGCTCCCTTCAAAAATACCAGGAGACCAGAGAGATAGTACAGCTGGCAGGGTGCTTGCCTTGCATGTGGCTGATCAAAAATTGATCCTCACATGCTATATGGTCCCCCGAGACTGCAGGAGTGATCCCTAAGGGCAGAGCCAGGAATAAGTCCTGAGCACAGTCAGGTGTAGCCCGCAAACAAAAACAAAAAATAAAAAGAATTACTAACAACTACCTCAGAAAAATTAATTTTGAGTCTTAACTATAGATGGCTCCCCATATTAATGAATTTGGGAAGGAACATTATGACTGCCAAGAAGTTATTTAGCACCCTTCCCACTGAGAGATAGTCTTTTGAGACTTCCCCTCACTTTGGGCAGGGAATGTATTCATTATGATGGATATTACACAATGAAAAGAAACCCAATAATACAACTTTTTTTTAAAAAATCACATCTTACTTCACAAGCTTAAAATCACATCTAAATTCACATAAAAAAATTAAGCTTTTATGTGAATGTATATGGGTTATGGAAGGAAAAAGAAATGGCTTGAAGAGATGCCTTTAGTAATTCAGCAAATAACTGCATTGACAGACAAAAAATATGGGAAGAAGTGACTGACACAGAGAAACCAATTTTATTACATATATTTGCAACAGAGCTAACCAACATGTCTACTCATACTCCATGGTTTACAGTATATTAGGAAGTTTAATTAGCAATAATTTGCTATTTAAGTTAAAGAGGGATTTGTGAATCATTTTAGAAATTCCACTTTCATCTATATCCTCGTGTGTGTGTGTGTGTGTTTTGGGCTACACCTGGTGACTTTCAGGTCTTACTCCTGGACCTGCACTCAGGAATCACTTCTGATGATATGGCCATACTACATCACACGCAGGTCTGCTGAGTGCAAAGCTAACACCCGACCCACTATACTATCACTCCAGTCCCTACATCCTCTTTCTTAAAAGTATTTCAAAATCAAGTAACTTTTGGGGCAGAGATAGCTCAAGAGATTGAACACAGGCAAGCAAGTCCCACAGTTTGATATTTAAAAGCACGTGTTACACTCCACCCAGCACCATTGGTTGTGGCCCCGATTAAAGAAATAATTTTAAAATAATGTAACTTTCTTAAATATGAGCTAATAAGATATTACCCAATCACAAACAAGTTTTTGAATATCATGATCTCAATATGCAAAATTTTTAAACTCGCTTAAATTATATTTAGTAAATTTATCAACAAAATTTTTAATTCTTATTACCTGTGAAGTGTCATTTCATTTTCTTGGTACAGTTCAGTCATTACTTTAAGTTTTTGCTGAAGCTTTTGATTCTCACTTTCAAACTGCGTAGTTTCTAATTGCAAAGATGCTTGCTCAGCCTGAAGATTTTTAATATACTCTACAGAAAATTTTTAAAAATCACAAGAGTAAACATTATGGATTAAAAATTAGCATTTAATAAAAGATTTCAAATTACTTAAAATAATACATTACCAATAAACTCCAATGAGAACCGAAAATTTACCATGTATTTTGGTCATCAAAGAGCTTTAAATTTTTAATTAGAAAGCTATACAATTTTATTATTAAAGATTTACCAAAGTCTGATACTCTAATTCTACCATGTAAGTTTCAGTCTGCAAAGCAAAAGTCAATAAAACTCTCAGAAGGAGGGACCAAAGAGATAGTACAGGGGTTACTGTGCTTGCATTCAGCCAAACCCAGTTTGATCCTCAGTACCAGAGGGTCCTATAACAACTGCAGGAGAGACCCCTGAGCAATGACCCAAAAAACAAAATTTTGAAGGCAAATAGTTTAATATTCCCTGTAAAACTACTTTTTCATTATTTTTAGGTACGCAACTTCTCCTTGTAAACAAAATTTTGACATACAAGTTAGTCAAAAATTAGAGTCTTGGGGCCTGAGCAAAAGCACAGAGGATAGGGCCTTTGCCCTGCAGGCAGCTGAACTGGGTTCAATTCCCAGCATTTCATATGGTAGTTGCCCAAGCCTACCCAGAGTTGTTCCTGAGCACAAAGCCAGGTGTGAGACCTGAGTACAGTGGAGTGTGGCCAAAACAAAACAAAAACTCAGAAATTTGGGTTTTAAGTTAAATGCTCCAAAGTCCCATTAGCTAGTTTATGTCAGATTCACAAGGCACACACCACAGCCTCCCAGCGCTACCTTGGTAGCCCTCCAAGAACCATGAAGTGTGATCTTTATTTAAAAGAAAACACACACACACACACACACACACACACACACACACACACACACACACAAACTTTAGCTTAGTTTTGCGGGTTAAATTACCTGACTCAACTATGAAAACAAAAATTATGTAAGAAATCCTGGTTTGATCCTCAGTACAGCGTGATCCCGAGGTACCAGCAGAAGCAATTCCCAAGCAAACCCAGGAGTAGGTCCTGCACCAACCAGGTGTGGCCCAAAAACAAAACAGAAAAACAAAAAATTTAACGGTTTTAAGTATGTTTTGAGTTCAGGCTTGGGACCTTGCCACAAGTATGTGGGAGGCGGAGAGCAGTTAGGATAGGGAAGGGACCATTAATAATGTTTGGAAATAGTCACTCTGGAAAAGAACTGAGTGCTGAAAGAGCGTAGAGGGATACACATGATAAGTTTTCATTATCTGTATTGCAAACCATAATGCTCGAAGGGGAGAGAGAGAGAAAGAGAGGGACAAGAAAAATGCGTGCCATAGAGGCAGGTGGGTGGAGTGGGGTGTGACTGGAGGAAAACTGGGGACACTGGTGGTGGGAAATATACTCTGGTGATGGGATAGATATTGGAACACTGTATGACTGAAACCCAATCATGAAAACTCTGTAATTGTGTTGGGTGGGTCTCACAGTGATTCAACTTAAAAAAATTTTTTTAAATAAAAAATATGTATGTTTTATAACTAGTCCATTTTTTTCAAAAAAACTTGCTTCTAGTCTTAATAATAACATTAATAACTAACCTAAATAACTATATCTATGAACTCTTCTAAGATTACAGTTTTCATCTTCCAAAATGTGTATGAGGGGCTGGAGCCATAGCAATGCAGGTAGGGTATTTGTCTTGCATGCGGCCAACCTGGGTTTGATTCCCGGCATCCTTTGTGGTCCCCCGAGTACCGCCAGGAGTAATTCCTGAGGGCAGAACCAGGAACCAGCCCTGTGCATTGCCGGGTGTAACTCAAAAAGAAAAAAAAAAAAGGTGTATGAATCCCGACTAACCTCCAGAGGCCACTAGACAGTCAGGTTTGGACCCGCAGTGATGAGACAAGTGGAGCCTCATGAGATGGGGATGGAGCTGGTCCTTTCCTCCCCACCCCAACAAGACCCCTAGTCGCTGCCCACAATGGCCTCTCGGACTCCAGATCAAGCTGCTTAAAGGCCATGATCCCAGAGACTCAGAAACAAATTTTGGAACCCAGCAGGTTTTGGCAGAAATCCCTCCAGATTTAATTGTTAAAATTTCAAGATTCCAACATCGCACGGCCACTACTGCAGCCACGCAACATCATATGCTATTCATAATCAGCAATAGAAAACAAATTGTCTACTGTTGCCTTTTCAGCAGATCTGAGTGTTGGGGTAAAATCTCAAACAATAATGGTGGGTCTGGTGTCGAAATATTGAATGTGATCAAAGTAGAGAGAAAGTAATGTGGAAATCATCTGCCCCACAGGTAGGGGGAGGGTGTGGGATGGGGGGGATACTGGGGTTTTTGGTGGTGAAAAATGGGTAGGTGAAGGGACAGGTGTTTCATCATTATATGACCGAGACTTAAACCCGAAAGCTGTGTAACTGCTCTCACAGTGAGTCAATAAAAAAATTTATAAAACAATAAAATAAATAATTATATTTTTCATAAGTATGAAAGAATAGGGCTTTATCAGCAATATAAAACTGGAGATGAACTTTTCACAAACAAAAGTTTAAATAAAATCAGAATGGATCTTCCCACAGTTGATTCTATTTGAGGCATTTTCTTTTTCCTTTTTTGGCTTTTTGGGTCATTCCTAAGCATCATCAGGAATGACTCCTGGCTCTGCACTCAGGAATTACTCCTGGCGGTGCTCAGGTGAATATACAGGATACCAGAGATTAAACCTATGTCAGCCCAGGTTCAAGGAAAAAACATCATACATACTGTACTAATGCTCCAGTCCCTGAGGCAGCATTTTTCTAATAAGTATTTATTTAGAAAAAGTTTAAAAGTATGTAGATTACTAACCTGTAAGCTCTTCTTTTTTATTATCTACTTCAGATAACTGAGTGTAAATTTGGTTCCTTTCTCCTTCAAGAGTTTGTAAAGAAGCATTTAACTTCAAGGAAAGGGAGAAAGAAACAATTAGTCACACTAAACAGGAATAGTTACACCAAAAAATCTTCCACTATAGTATCCCAAACTTATAATGCTCTTTTATCACTGATGAAATCGCCATCTAGAAAATACAGTCAGCAATGAAATTGCAATTTGGGAGATTTAGCAAAGTTATCCATAGCTGTAAACCTCAGAACAGGAATAAAAACAGCAATTATTTTCCTTCCATTTACTTTCAACACGTAAGTTTGACTGAGCAATCCTAAACCTTCACCACTAAAACTTAACATAGGTCACAGGCCAGTAAAGATCAGGATACCACTATTAGGATCAAAAAGTGATGGAATAAACTGGAAGAAAATAAATCTAGTATTTACTCCTCAAAATATATTGAGATAAAAGAAAAATATATAGATACAAGGAAGACTCTCAAAGAAAAAAATAAAAGAAAATATACTAAATATTTCTTATTCCTTATCCAAAGAAATTAGGGCACACACTGCAAATATTTGTTGATAAATCTTTAAAATTAGAGGCCAGAAAGGCCTGGAACATGATAAAAGTGGAAGGGCACTTGCCTTTCACACTGCCATCCTTGGTTTGATCCCCAGCATCCCATAAGGTCTCCTGAGCACTGCCAAGAGTGATTCCTAACTGTTCCTAACTGTAGAGCCAGGAGTAACCACTGAGAATCCTCGAGATACCCCCCCCATATATATATATATATATATATATATATATATATATATACATATATACATATATATACACACACTTATATATATGTATATTTTTATATATATTTTTACATAATTTTTTACATTTTTACATATGTATATAATTAGGTAAAGGTAAGGGGGTGGACCAATAATACAGCAAGTAAAGCACTTGCCTTGAATGTGGCTGACCCAGGTTCAATCCCTGGTACCAGGAGTGATCCCTGAACACAGAGCAAGGACTAGTCCCCTGAGCACTGGCAGGGTGTGGCCCAAATAGCCAAAACAGAGAAAACAACAGCTTGCTCTCTCAGATTCATGTTCTTTCTTGAATAGTATCTTGCATGTTTATCTTTATGAACCTTTGCTTGCTTTTTCTTCCCTGGAGAAGTCAAAGTTATCTTAAACAGGTACTTTGTCTCCTTCTCTCCCCTCTCATCTTTATTTTTGGTTTTTGTTTGTTTGTATTTGGGCCATACCTGGCAATGCTCAAATGTTAGTTATTTCTGGCTCTGCAGTCAGGGATCACTCCGGGCACTACTCAGGGGAACACATGGGGAGCCAGGGATCAAATAAGCCATATGCAAAGAAAACACATTACCCACTATATTGTCACTCTGGCCCCATCCCTTCACATGTTTCTATGTAAATTTTAATAAAAACTACCTTGCGTCACAAAAAAAAAATGGAAGAAAGAAAATTGATGAAACTGATTTTATACTGTAATTATAAAATAAAGGGCTTTTTTTAAGTAGACACTAAGCATATATGAGTTTAATTCATGTTACATTTCTTTCTCTTTTATACATTAATACAAACCTTAGCTGCATAAATCAGTTTCTTCAAAGCTCCTTTTGGTTGGTTTTCTATAAACAAAAGAAAATCACAACAATAAGAAAGCAGTAAAAGAGCTGGAGAGATAGTAGAGCAGGTAGGGCATTTGCCTTGCATGCAGTTGACCTGAGTTCAATTTCCAGCACCCCATATTGTCCCCCATGCAATGCCAGTAGTAATTCCTCAATGCAGAGTCAAGAGTAGCCTCTGGACATCACCAGATGTGGTCCAAAAACAAAAAGAAAACAGTACATCACCAAAACACACATTTCCAAATAATTTAATTACTTCATTCAACTGAAGACTTAATATAGTCCCCCACCAACATTCTCTTCATGTTATTTATAATATAATATAGGGCAAAATGACCTTGAACCTACTTTAAATAAAAATAAACCAAAAAAGTTCTGGAAGTACCATATTTTGACTTAACAAGGTTCTATACCAGTTAAGTCCAAGGATCTATCTAAATGATGCACACAGGGGCTGGAGCAATAGCACAGCGGGTAGGGCGTTTGCCTTGCACGCGGCCGACCTGAGTTCAATTCCCAGCATCCCATATGGTCCCCTGAGCGCCACCAGGAGTGATTCTTGAGTGCAGAGCCAGGAATAACCCCTGTGCATTACCGGGTGTGACCCAAAAAGCAAAAAATAAATAAATAAATAAAAAATAAATAAATGATGCACACAATCTCAACTAAGAATTCATCAGCCTATGAATGAAGTTATCTTCCAAATGAAATATCACTGAAAATCAGGTCCCCAAGAGCAGCTGAGGCTGTACTCTCCCCCACCATTGATGCAGAGGCCTGCCATACACAGAACAGATGAGCCCCGAAAACAGGGTCGACCTACAGGTCAGGAGTCAATGCCTTTTCCCAAGTAGTGGCCACTAATGTGGCAGTAAAATAATCTCCATCCCTCAACAGAGCACCCCCAGAGATCTCCCTTACAGTGTGGGGGGGAAGGGGGGGGACAGAGGAGTGCGGGTATTGAAGGTGCTGACAGTGAAGTAAAAAGACACACGCCAAGACTACAAAAGGAACCACAGTAATGCAGTGCAGATCCCACCATGGGTACTGAGCAAAAACTGTAATCCTGAGAACTCAATCAATAATAACCCCATATATAAACTCTCTGAAAAGTAATTCAGAGTAGAAATGCTTAGGACATTTAATGAGCACAAAGAAACAATGGAATGGACCACCAATAAAACACAAAAGGATATGAAAGCAGAAATTAGAAAACCACAAACAGAAATGACAGAACTGAAAACCTGTTTGGTGAAACAAAGGCCTCAAGAGTAGAGTAACAGCTGCTGAGAACAAAAATCAGTGAGCTCCAAGATAAACTTCAGAAAACCTCCAGACAATAGCAAAAGATGGGAAAAAGTCTCAAAATAAATGAACAACTAACAGAGAACTTGTGGATGAATTCAAGAGGAACACGTAAGAATCACCTGTCCCAGGGCTGGAGAGATAGCACAGAGAGGGTAGGGTGTTTGCCTTGCACACAGCCAACCCCGGTTCAATTCCCAGCATCCCATATGGTCCCCTGAGCACCGCCAGGAGTAACTCCTGAGTGCAGAGCCATGAGCAACCCCTGTGCATCGCCGGGTGTGATCCAAAAAGCCAAAAAAAAAAAAGAATAACTGGTCCTAGAGGACCAGGAAGGCAACCCCAATGAAGAGGCAACAGTCAGAGCCGTCATCGCTGAAGTTCCCAGAGCTGAAGAACACATGTACCCAGATTCAGGACGCCCAAAGAATATCAGCTAAAAAAGATCCAAATAAAAATACTCAAGACACACCCTAATCAGAATGATGAAAATCATAGATATAGAATAACTGAAAGCAACAATATCAAAGAAGGAATTATACACAAAGGAGGTCCTTAAGATTTACAACATATTACCAAATGAAACAGTCCAGGGTCAAAAACAATCGTGGAACATAGTAAAAAGCACTCATCTGATAAGGTGCTAATAGCAAATATATATATATAAATATATATATATATAGGCAGAACTATACATGAGAAAAACATACAACCCCATCAAAAAATGTTAAGAGATGAACAGAAACTTCCTCAAAAAAGAAATACAAATGTCCAAAAGGCATATGAAAAAATGTTCTGTATCACTAATCACCAGGGAAATGCAAATCAAAACAAGAAGACATCATCTCACACCACAAAGAATGGCACACATCAAAAAGAACAAGAATAGGGGGCGAGCAACAATAAACAGGTAGGGCATTTGCCTTGTACATGACCAACTTGGGTTTAATTCCCAGCATCCCATATGGACCCCAAGTACCACTAGGAGTCATTCCTAAGTGTAGACCCAGGATTAACACCTGAGCACTGCTGGATGTGGCCTCAAAACAAAACAAACAAAAAATGAATAAAAGAATAAGAACAACCAGTGCTGGTATGGATGCAGAAAGAGACTTTCATTCACTGTTAGTGGAAATGTTAACTGGTCCAGTCCTCCTGGAAAACAATATGGACATTCCTAAAAAATCCAGGAATTGAACTTCCACTTGACCCAGAATCTCCACTTCTTGGAATATACCAAAAGGGGGGCAAAAACAAAATGGAAGAAAGATATCTGCACCCCTATGTTCCTTGCAGCACTATCTACAGTAGCCAAAATCTGGAAACAGCCCAAGTTTTCAAGAAAGGATGACTGGATAAAGAAACTATGGTATATATACACAAGAGAATAATATTCGGTCCTAAGAAAAGTCATGAAATTTGCTGCTACATAGAGGGACCTGGAGAGTATCATGCTGAGTGAAGTTAGTCAGTTGGAGAGACACCAACAAAAAATGATCTCTCTCATATGCGGAATACAAAAAAACGTAATAGTGGAATAGCTCAACAAACACCCAAAAGCAACAGAAACGAAGAAAAAACATGAGAACTGGTGTTTAGTTGGAAACATGCCACTTGAGGGGTTGGGGTAAAGGACAGGGAGGGGGCAATGTCTATGATTTTAGGAAGCATTCAACCTGAAGAAGGAAATGGTGCTGAAAGGTAGGGTCAAGTGTATGAAAATCCGATCAGCAACAGTGCCGTAGACCACAGTATAAAAACATTAAAAAAAAAAAGGAAAAAAAGCGTCTCTCATAGAAGAGACAGGTGAGTAGAAGCCAATAGGAATAGGGGTGGGGGAAGACTGGTGGAAGGAAGTGGACCCTGGTGAAGGAGTGGTGTTGAAACACTGCATGCCTAAAATGCAATCATAAATAATTTTGTGATTTCATAGTGGCTGAATTTTTTTTAAAAAGAAATAACATTAGGAATGCTCTGCCACAGAGGCAGGGTGGGACGGGGGGGATGGGGGGTGGGAGGGATGCTGGGATCCGTGGTGGTGGAGGATGGGCACTGGTGCAGGGATGGGTACTTGATCATTATATAACTGAAACCCAAGCACAAAAGTTTATAAGTCTATAACTGTACCTCATGGTGTTTCACTAATAAAAAATAAATAAAATAAAAAGAAATAACATTTAAAAATAAAACAACTAAATAAAATTATAAAAAAAATAAAATAAAATAACATTAAATAAGCATGAGTTTTCCCATTAGGAAAAAAAAATGTTTAGAAGATATAACAGAAGTGAAAAATAAAATACAAACAGAACTATATACTTACTTTGGCAATGCAATTTTTTTCTGATGCATTAATACTAGCATCAAAAAAATTTTATTTTAATCACATCTCCACCTCTTTAATATGTATATAATTAGGCAACAGGATGAAAGAAAATTGTTAGGATACAAGAATCAAAAGAACTAACATTGGAGAAACTGGAGAAATATATGGAACCTCTCTATATGCTCCTTTTGTCAGTTCCTGTGAGTCTATAATTATGTCAAGTAAAATTTTTAAGTTAAAAAAATTGATTTGAGAATATACTGAATAGCTATAGCAAATCTAATCTTTGACTACACTTCCAGATTGCAATTAGCAGTGACAGGAACAATTTGGAATGGCAAAGACTAAAGTACTGCAAAATGAGCTTGGGGATCACTGTAAGGGCTTCTGCATGCAGGAGCTTCACTGGGTGTGACATCCCCCCTGCCGCCACCACCACCAAAAAAGGGCAGTATTTCAGAGGCCAAGGAGATAGTACAGGGGTTAAGGTTCTTGCCTTGCTTGAAGCCGACCTTGATTCAATCCCCGCATCACATATGGTCGCTCAAGAACCGCCTGGAATGAACCCTGAGCACTGCCAAGTGTGGCTCAAACCCCAACCTCTCCCCACCACCACCACCACCCAAAAATAAAGAGAAGTATTTCAGCTAAAGCTTAACTGTAAAGAACACTGAAAGAGGGACACGGTTTTAGAAGTAAATGGACAAGATGTGCTGAAGAATAAGGTGCACAGGGCACATTAAAAGTATATACAAATGCCAGTCATCACTTTCAGCAAAAAAAGGACAAGCCAACACTTGGTACCTAAATACGTACCACTTTCTGATTCACTCTTCACGTCCAATTCCAGATTATCATCATCTGCTATGTCTTCGCCAAGCACAGCGGACCAATCTTTCATCTCCACCAAGCGTTCGGTCAGAGCCTTGACATTTAGCAATGGGGAAAGACAAAAAGAAAGGATAATGCCTTATGCTAATTGCTTTCCAACTTCTGAATGTATAGTTTAAAAATCAATCCAGGGCCAGAGATAAAGTTCAAGATGCTTCACATGCAGGAGGCTTGGGTTTGATCCTGAGCAAAAAGATCCCCAAACATTAAGCTAGGAGTAGTCTCTGAACACCACAAGGTGTGGCCCAAAAACACAAACAACCCACAGAGCTCCTGAGTTCTATCTCTATCTAGCATTATGTCATGAAAACACTCTGGAAAAAATGAAGGGAAACTGGCTTTAGGTTCTAATAATTAAAAGCTGGTTATTTCTAAATTAAACACTTGATAATAACCCATGGTTACTAATTGTATTGCATGACTATGACAACATTTTTCTTATATATCTCTCACATCTCACAAATAACAATGCCATTAATACGAGAGAAAATTTCGTGTGATGTCAAAAATGTCAGCAGGTATTCATGAAGTCCAGGATAAAAGAAAATTTCACTGATCTCATTTATTCAATTAAACAATTACCTCAACTGGTAAAAGAAAATAATGAGAATCCAATTTGAAATATTAGAGATTTTCTGACACTAATAAATAAATTTTCTTGAATAAATATTTTCTAGCAATACAGGTGATAAGATGATTGTGCTATGTATTTCTGTGGAAGGACCCACCTAAAAACCCTCTACTCTAGGCTTTCACCCTTCAATTTCCTCCCTTCTTGAGAGTTCCAGCACAAATAGTACAGCCTACAGCTTGGAGCAAAGCTTGAGATTAGCACCTCATTCTTGTTCTATTCAGAAAGAATCCCAAGACCTTTTGTAAAATAAGCTTGGGGGAATAAAATAAAACAAGACCTCAGCTTCTGAACACAACTACTAAATCTGGAATCCTGTAAACATTCTCGGTAGCAACCTAACCAGCATAAATACATAAAACCGAAGATGATGACATTCTTGTTACTGTACAGATCACAGAATATCATTTTCATCTTAACTGCAACTTAGATATAAGTACCTGCATCTTAGACAAATATTATTTTAAAAGAACAGGCAGGAAGTAATGGGTAATGCGTAGGAGAGAGAGACACAGTAGGAAAAAGCCAATAAATCCTAACAACAATATCAAACATTTATAGCTATTAGTAAAACTTCAATTAGTTATATATTTCAAAAAGTCTTTTTCTGTGAAAATTTATATAAAGCATTCTAGGTATTAAAGATATCCTGTCAGGGGCTGGAGCAATAGCATAGCGGGTAGGGTATAAAGCTAAGCTAAAATATAAAGGATAGAACACATCAAATATTAACGGGAGGACAGTGACAGTGACATATACACAAAAAATCTATGTCTTGAGAGTACTTGGCAATAAGGATGACAATTTCAGTACAAGTTTAATAAATGCTGCTAAAAACAAAAACTTAGAAATTCTCAGAATTGTTATAAACTCTAGCTAACTCATTAAAACCAATAGGGTCATTTACCTTGATCTGTTTTTCTTTATCATACAGAACTTGTTCTGCATCTACTTTGGAGGCTTCAAATGTTTGTTTCTGTTTATCAAGTTCACTTATTTGTTCTTTCCATGTTTCAATTTCTTGCAAAAGCTAGAATCCAAACCCACGAAAAAAGAAAAGTAGTTCACATTATCTCATCATAAATATATATACAAAGTACTTATAAATTTAGGTGTAATATTAACACATACAACACAATGTATTATTAGGATGGAACAGTGGAAAGGGAGAGGAAAAGGAGAAGAAAAAGAAGGTGGACTCCGCTTTTCAAAGGGTAAGTCAGGGCAGGGGAGGTAGCCTTTAGGCAATAGTTCAGAGAGCTTGCAAGTTGGGTTTAATGCCATTGGTACCACTTGGTTCTACAAGCATCCTAGAAAGACACTGTGGGGCCCCAAAGGCCACCCCCACATACAAGAAAGAAGTGTAATATAAAGTTACAGACACTTAAACATTCTTCAGCTGACTTAATAATAAATTTATACGAAATAAAAGATTTCTGAGACATATATCTATTTGGTCACTTCGTACCATTGTTAAGATTCATAAAATATTTATATTAAGTTTTATTTTTAATCATGTGCTATTTTGTAGTTAAAGTAGCTCGCAGGAAATACCATCAATCTAGGACTATAGAGAGAGTACAGCAGGCAAGGATCTTGCCTTGCACATGGCCAACTGTGATTCAATCCTCCGCATCCCATATGGTCCCCTGAGCACCACCAGGAGTAATTCCTCAGTGCTGAGCCAGGACTAACCCCTGAGCATCACCAGGTGTGAACCCCCCCAAAAAAAAAATCAGTAATCTGAAACTAATCAGATTCTGTATAAACAATCTATTATTTTCAAAATCACTGACATTTTCCAGGAATGCTTATATAAACAATCTTTCAATGATAATTTTGCGGGAGAGTTACTTTTACAGGAGAGATTTTCTGAACACAACTAAAAAGCATGGTATAATATACATATTAACTTTTCTGTTTGGTTTGGTTTTGGATCATGCCTTGCAGTGCTCAGGACTTACTCCTAGTTCTGACCTCTGGGATCACTCCTGGCATGCTTGGGTCACCATATGGGATCAGACCCAGACTGGTTGAGGAAGAGGCAAATGTCCTGCCCACTATATATCTCTCTGGCCACAATTCCTTAAAACTTACCAAATCAAAAAGTTACACAAAGCAATTAAGAACTAGAAAGAATTTTTTTTTGTTTTTTATTCGGGGGACCATAGCAGGCTATGCACAGAAGTTTACTTCTGACTCTGTTCTCAAGCATCCCTTGAATTGGGACATGGGATTATATGCAGTGCTGTGCTGAATATTGAACACGAGAGAGCTGGTAAAAGACAAGAAAGAATTTCTCCAGATGCTAAGAAAAATTCATATGTGTCATGCAAAGAGCTATTAAAAGTTGGTGAGGAAATAAAAAAGGAAAAGAAGCAATTCGTGAGATGATTTTTTTTTAAACATTAAGGCTTCATTGACTTATTCCCTAAGCACAAGAAAGATATTATTTTCTATGCATGTAAAGCAGAATAAGATGGCACTAACAAGTAGAAACAAATGAAATTAAAGAAAACATTTTGGAATTGGTCATTAGTTGGTCTATAGTGAATCCCTAAGGAGACTGCTGTCTAAAAAAATTAGGAAAGACTATTAAAACAAGGGCTGGAGCGATAGCACAGCGGGTAGGGCGTTCGCCTTACAAGCGGCCAACACGGCCGACCCAAGTTTGATTCCTCCACCCCTCTCGGAGAGCCCGGCAAGCTACCAAGAGTATTCGATATGCCAAACACAGTAACAACAAAGTCTCAATGGAGACGTTACTGGGTCCGCTCGAGCAAATCGACGATCAACGGGAGGGCCTTTACCTTTACCTTACCTTTATTAAAACACAGGATCCATGAAAACAAAATAGTTTATTTCAAGAACTTTGGTGACTAGAAAAAATAAATAAGCAGCCTAGAAAGTTAAGGGTCAAAGAAATAGTTCAAGGGGACTGGAATAATAGCACAGTGGATAGGGAGTTTGCCTTGCACCCAGCCAACCTGGGCTCAATTCCCAGCATCCCATATGGTCCCCTGAGCACCGCCAGGGGTAATTCCTGAATGCAGAGCCAGGAGTAACCCCTGTGCATCGCCAGGGGTTTTTTGAAATAGTTCAAAAAAGTTTGAACACATGCTTCATATGCAGAAAGCCTGAGTTTTGTCCACCTGCATCACACAGCTCCCCAAGCATCATCACGAATGACTGAGCACTGACTGGGTACTGCCAGATGTGATCCAAAACAAACAAACAAAAACAAAAATTTTTTTTAAAGACTTAAATAATCTAGGTGAAATTTTTTTTTAAATTGTAAAAAGGAAACTTTAAATTTAACAAAAGGCTTAGGACTACAACTTTATCCTGAAATCTACTAGGACGACAATAAAGAGATTTAGAGGAAAGGTACTAAATCTATAAGAGAACTACATATGAGGGGAAAAAGTAATTCTAGAAGTGGAAAGCAGAAAGAAATGGAAGCATGGTTAAAAAAATTGGAGGTGAGGAGAAGGTAGGAACAGAGCTATGATAGTTCAGCAGGTAGGGCATTTATTTGCCTTTGCACACAGCCAACCTAGGTTCAATCCCTAGGCATCCCTATCGTTCCCCCAAGCCCCACCAGGAGTGCCAGGGGTATTCCCTGAACATCACTGGTTGTGGCCCAAGAACCAACAATTAAATAAACAAAAATAAAAAGTTTCCATGAGCCAGAGAGATAGTACAGGATGTTTTAAGGTGCACGCTGTCTTGCATGTGGCCAACCCGGGTTCAATTTCTTGGAACTGAAGCAACCAAAGCAGCTCCTGGAGTGACCCAGAGTACAGACAGGAGTAAGAACTGAGCACACAAAAAAAAGCAGATTTGTCTTAAGGAAATGAAAGTGGTTTTCAATCACTGGCAATAAAAATTTTCCTGTACATCCATGAAAAAAGTTATTGCAGCTTAATTGGTTTTCAACTGCCAATGTACCAAATGTTTTTTGTAAAAAAGAATGAATCACTGAAAGATGAGCTCCAACAATGAACAAAGGCAGGATGAAAGTAACATGAAATCTTAGGACAACAGCTGCATAAAAGATCTACAATAATTTCCTAGTGATTTAGGAAAATGAAAGACTCAAAAAGGACTACTTCAAGAAAAAAATAAAATTAGCAGATCAACATTTTCCTTTGTAAAAATACTTAGGAAACCAGAGCTGTAGCTTAGTGGAAGAAAACATGCCTCACGTATAAAACCTTGGATTTGATCCTCAGCATCAACAGCACCTGCCCTCCCACAAAAAAAGATAATTATGTGTCTAGAAAAGAGAGCATACATATGAATTAAAGAGAGGCATATGGGAAATAAGACAATTTCAACTCCAGAGAACATAAAATGTTAGGTAAAACAGAATGATGTATGCATTCAGAGGACATAATAAAATGGAATAATACAATTATTTCTTACTGAAAAACTGTAACTGCACTGAAATGTCTATGTATGTGGCAGAGAAAATAATACAAGCAAAGGCCTCATTTGATCTCTTTATATCTTTATGCACTAGAAGGAATCGCTCAAATAATTCTAATATTCTCTGCAATCCACTCTTTACAGAAGTGGTGCTAAATTTTCTCTGCTGTGATGATTAAAATAAATCAATACTCCCAACGTGCTCCTCCTGGGAGAGGAGCACTTTTTTTTATCTTTATACAAAAAACCCCAAAGTATATAGAAGAGATTCCTGTTCTGTGCTATCCAGGAAAAGCCTATGCTTGTCCCACCCATGTTTCAGTCACTTATAATTACATACTCACAATGGGAATCTCCTTCATCAGTACAAACCTGTGTCTGGCTTTCCTGAAGTTTGGAATTTTCACTCAAAGCATCTTTTATTGCTACCTTAAGTCTTTCTTCATTCATTTGAAATATTTTGAAGGTTGTTTTGGCCTAGGTAAATAAAATACAATGTATCAAGTTTCTACCCTGTGCCTGACTGTCTCCACCAGGGCCCAACAGCTGAAGACCTCCCACACTTGGATGAGCCTCAGGGATAAAAGAACTGACAGAGGAACCCAGGTGTGTGGGACCCGGGGCTGAGATCTCCGAGCCTGCAAGGTTTGGGACTGGACCTGCCAGTAGCTAGACAGTTACACCCACCAACTGCCGTGCAACCCCAACAACGGCCAGGATCCAGAGATTATCACACTCAGTTCCTGGAAGCACGCAGCTGCATTCTCCGCCACGTGACATCTTATCATCTCATTCCTACTTTGGACAAACTGGCAGGCTACCGAATGTAACCTGCCCACACGGCAGAGTCTGGCAAACTCCCCGTGGCATACCCAGTATGCCAAATACCAGTAACAATGGTGGGTCTCATTCTCCTAACCCTGAAAGAGCCTTGAATATGGCACTTTAAAAAAAAAAAAATCTCAGGGCTAGGACGAAGGAGACGTTACTGGGGCCTGCTCGAGGCAATCGACTAACAACAGGATGGTCGTGATCGTGATCGTGATCAAGTTTCTAACAATAAACTGGAGTAGCCCTTTTATTTTTTTTAAACAAGTGGCTTAAAAGCAAAAAAATAAGCAAATACAAAAACTTTTGACTTCATTAACATAAAAGGTTGTACAAAATAGCCGAAAAATGGATGACCAAGAATTAGGATTAAGACCTGGCTCTGACACTAACATGCCACGTAGCCCTGGACAAGTGGCTTAATATGTAGAAAATTGCGCTACTTTTTGATCATGTCTCTCAAGCAGAATGAAAGCTCCATGACAACTTTTACATTTTATCTACTAAAGTTAAGAGCTAAGCACCTTCAACACTGATCAATACAGAGCAGCAGCTCAAAGCTGAGTGAAAAGTTAAACACTCAAGTACCTTGAATAAAATACTCATTTATCTAAAACCCTCTACCTCAAAATCTACTATTATGTATCCTTAGCTACAAAGAAATAGTAAAATTATAATAATTTTCAAAAGCAACAAATCTATTAGATTCAACTTACTTCAGCTACTTGTGATTTGAGGGATTTTGATTCTTCTTCTAAAGACTGTATCCTATTAGAAATATCCACCATCTGGAAAGACAAGCATCAGTCAACAAACATATACTAAACCCCTACAAGTCTCAAAATGTCATATGTATATTATACTATTAATCCAACACTTTTTTTCCAAAACTGAGATTTCAAATTAAGAACCATATGCTTGGAACCGCAGAGATTATGACATATGCCTTGCATGCAGCAGACGCTGGTTCAATCTCAAGGTACAACCCTACAGGTTATTACTGCTGGAGAGACCTAGGTAATCCCTAGCCACACAGGGGCCAAGCAATATGCATCCATAGGTCTTGGCAATGAATTGCTTGGCCAAGTTGGCTGAGAATTCCTCAGAATGGTCCCTGGATCCCCTGAGCACCCTCCCCCAAAAAGACTTCAGAAACATATAATTCAGAGAATTATATATGAAAGAGTTACACAATTTTATTTTACCTTCTTTTCTCTTTTTTTTTCAGTGTTTCATAACATTTAACTTATATTTAAGGTAAGTCCATTTAACGTTGTACCTTGTTAAATGATTTTACACACTCACAAGAAGACCTTCCTTAACCCTTCTCCCTGCCCTGAAGAGGCCTCGCATTGCCACCCACGAACTCTTCCTCCAGCTCCTGAACGGCCATGATCCCAGAAGCACACAAACCAATCTCAGATACCACCAGCTTTTGGCAGAAATGCATCTGGACTGTGCATTAAACTACGGATCCATGCCACCCGGGGAGGGGAAAGGTGTTTGTCCCTCCGCCTTTTCCCCCTGGCAGCAGTGGCATGGTGGCCACTATCTTTCAGAGCCTAAAGGAGAGCTAGGTATGAGACTGTAGTGACGAGGCAAGCAGGGCCTCATGGTATGTGGGGTGGAACCGGCCCTGCTCCACGCCCTGACAAGCCCACTAACGCCTCCTCCAGCTCCTGAACGACCATGATCCCAGAGGCACACAAACCAACCTCAGAACCCAGCGGCTTTTGGCAGTAATCCCTCCAGAGTTATTACTAGAATATCAGAAATCCAAAATCACATGGCCACAATAGCAACTGCGTGACATCATATGCTCTTCATAAACAGCAATAGAAAACATATTATCTAATGGTGTCTTTTTGGCAGGTCTGATTGTTGGGGGAAAATCCAAATAATAATGGTGGGTCTTTTGTCGTAATATTGAATGTGATCAACGCAGAGAGAGAGAGTAAAATGGAAATCTGCCACACAAGCGGAGGAGGGAGGTATACTGGGGTTCTTGGTGGTGGAAAATGTGCACTGGTGAAGGGATGGGTGTTTGATCATTGTATGACCAACCGAGACTTAAACTGAAAGGCCTTGTGACTGTTCTCAGGGTGATTCAATAAATAAAAAATTTTTTTAAAAAATCTTTAAGTCAGATTTGTTTTTGTTTTTTTTTTAATTCAGATTTTAAAATAAAATTAATACATCTTTTAACTTTTTTGGAAAATGCCTGGAATCAGACCAAGGACTCATAAAAGCAAGGCAACCTTCAACATATATATCTCTTGGGTAACAAAAAATGCCCATTATATACATGTTTATTCAATTTAAATTACAAAGCTACTTCCAAAAGCATATGGAAAATTTCTGTAAACTCTGTAAGAAACTTAACATGATAAAGGTAACCTCTAACTACTAAAAAGATAGATATGGAAATAATAGATATGGAAATTTTTACTCTCCACTTAAGAGCTTCCTATATTCTTTGAATTTTTACAGGATACATAATACTTCAACTAATACCCTACTTTTTGTTTCGTCTTGTTTTTCTTTTTGGATCAAACCCGGCAATGCATAGGGGTTACTCCTGGCTCATGCACTCAGGAATTATTTCTGGCAGTGCTCAGGGCACCACTGTGGTATGCTGAGAACTGAACCCGGGTCAGCCGCGTGCAAGGCAAATGCTCTACTCGCTGTGCTATCACTCCAACCCCAATAAAATTGGTTTTATTTACTTTTTTAAAACCGATATATTACTTTCTTCTATAGTACTCTTAAGTATAAAAGTCTTACCAATTCATCTTGTTCAGAATGTTTGGATTTCTCTTCTTTCAACTGTTCTTCAAGAGACTGTATTTCATTCTCAAGTTCAGAGTTAGACCTGTTCAATTTCTCATAGGTTTCCTAAAAGAAGTGAAAGTTATGAGAGGAATTCTGGGTTTGGTTAAATAAGTATAATCAAGTTCACAAATGTACTTACGTTGTATACCTTTGGTATATATTCTTATTTTTATAACAATAATAATTCTGAGGTCAGAAATTTTTTTCTATAGAAAATCAAAGAGTAAATATTCAAGACTGGAAGCAACCAGCTTCTATGTTTCAACTACTCAATTATACCTATGAGGTAAGAAAGTCAAGGTTATACGTAATTCACTGAAAATAACTGTGTCCCAGTAAAACTTTATTTACAAAAAAAGGTGGAAAACACACTGATTATAGTTTGCCAATTCCTTCTATTAATCATTACATACAAAATGATGAGAAATCCAATTTAATATAATTAAAGAAAAACTCAAAAATGTATCAATCAAAATACTTCACAATATTTTCTGTCACCTTTTAATTTTAATTAACTGTCCTCCTGTTGTTCATCGATTTGCTCAAGCAGGCCCAGTAACATCTCCATTTTGAGACTTGTTGTTACTGTGTTTGGCATATTGAATATACTCTCGGTAGCTTGCCAGGTTTTGCCATGCGGGTGAGATACTCTTAGTAGCTTGCCGGGCTCTCCGAGAGGAGCGGAAGAATCAAACACGGCTCAACCGGGCTGGTTGCAGGAAAGGCAAATGCCCTACTACTGTGCTATCATTTCCCCATAATACAAACTGGATATTTGGAACTCTGCTATTTGTGATTCTTCAACAAACTTTTACTGTCTGTTCTTAGGAGGATGTTGGTGTTTTGGGCCACATTTGGCTGTGCTCAGGGCTTACTCCTGGCCAGTGTTAAGAGACCATAGATTGTGCCAGGGATCAAACCAGGGTCAGCTTCATGTAAGACAAGCAAGAGCCTTACCCCTATACTATCTCTCCAGCCATCAAACTTGGTTTTTATTTTTCTTCTTTCCTAAAAAAATATTTAGTCACCATGGAATTTAAAGCTATTTATGATTAGGTTCCAGGCGTACAAGTTTCAGCACCAATCCCTTCACCAGTGTCTACTTCTCTCCACCAATGCCCTCCAATGCCATGTGCCTCCCACCCACCAGTCACTTGCTTCCACAAGAGACTCATGTTTTTGCAGTGTGGTTTACAATTCTGTCGCTGATTTAGCGTTTCACACAAAACACTTTACCACCTTTCAGCACCGCTTCCTCCTCCTGAATGAATGGTTCCCTCTACCATAATTGTTGTCCCACCCACCCACCCCCACCCTACCCCCCAGCCCTGTCAAGTGGCATGTTTCCAGCTAAAAACCAGTTCTCATGTCAAACTTGTTTTTAAAACAAGAAACAAAAATAAATAAATAAATAAAATTTAATGCAGGCCAAAAATAACAGTAGAGCAAATACATACTATAATGGTTTAAAAACCTTATTTAGGGGCTGGAGCAACAGTTCCACAGGGAAGGCATTTGCTTTGCACATGGCCAACCCGGGTTCACTTCCCAGCCATACCATATGGTCTCCCAAGCACCGCCAGGGGTAATTCCTAAGTGCAGAGCCAGGAGTCAGCCCTGTGCATCGCTAGGTGTGACCCAAAGAAAAAAAAAAAAGAAAACCTTATTTAGAGTCAGCACAATATATAGTGGGTAAGGCACTTGCTGTGTACACAACTGATCCAGGTTCAATGCCTGATGCCCCAAACGGTTCCCTGAACCTGTCAGGAGTAAGCCCTCAGCACAGCCAGATGTGGCCACAAAACAAAACAAAAACAACAACAACAACAATAACCAAAAAAACACCTTATTTATAGGGGCAAAGGAGAGAAGATAGTACAATGGAAAAAGCTCTTGCCTTGCAAACAGCCAACCAAGGTCCAATTCATGGCACCCCATACGTTCTCCTGAGCACTGCCAGGAGTAAACGCTGAGTGCAGAGCTAGAAGTAAAGCCCTAACACCACCCCTGAGTGAGCCAAAAACAAACAAACAAAAAAGAAATTACTTAAATAAAAACTTATTTATAAATATATCCTAATTTAAATCTTTGATAGCACAGCGGGTAGGGCGTTTGCCTTGCATGCAGCCAACATGGCCGACCCGAGTTCGATTCCTCCGCCCCTCTCGGAGAGCCCAGCAAGCTACCAAGAGTATTCGATATGCCAGACACAGTAACAACAAAGTCTCCAATGGAGACGTTACTGGGCCCGCTCGAGCAAATCGATGATCAACGGGAGGGCCTTTACTTTTACTTTACCTTATTATATATATTCTAAGTGGAATCAAAATTATTTAGTTTCAACCACAAATCTTTAACAACTGTATCACATTATAACCTGGTATCCAATTATGTGCACAAATCTTAGATATTAAACAGCTTTTAAAAAGTACAACAATGACACTCAATGCCTCTTTGGCAGACCACAACACCCAAAAGGAGAGAGAGAACACAGGGGATTGCCCTGCCACAGAGACAGGGGGGATGGGGGGATGGGGGTGGGAGGGATATTATCCATGGTGGTGGAAAATGGGCACTGGTGGAGGGATGGGTATCTGATCATTGTATAATTGAAACCAAAGCACAAAAAATTGTAAATCTACAACTTTAAAAAATAATAAAATAAAGGGAAAAAAAAGTACAACAATGAGAGAAAAATTCAAAATATTTTCAGTTAAAAATTTAGCAAATTTTACAGTAAGATTAGACATATCAATGCCTTGAAAACAAATAGGTGTTTTATCTACAAATCCACCAACTTGAATAACAAGTCTTTTGTTCTTCAATTCTTGTTTGCTCTTTGTATAGCACACTAAGTGGTTTTCTGTTTTTAAAAGTCAAACTAATAAAATACTACTGGAACAGTAAAAGATAGGATCAACACATAAAATACAAAAATGTCACACTTTTTTGAAAATACTAAGTACTAAATGAAGAGTGATAAGATTCGGAAATGTACATCAATGTATTTAACTTCTTTTGAACTCTCGTAGGGAATTCTATGCCAAGAAAAAGTTTCTGATGATTACAGAGACTTAGAACTGCAAAGCTCAAGTGACTGAACATGTACACCATGAGGACAAAGTCCCAGTTTGCAGCTTTAACATTAGCGGAAGCAGGTTTCCTCCCTTGTCCTTTGTCACTGCTCTGTTTTCTCCAACACTCTCCTCTCTAACAGTGGTAAGGCAGTCCCATTACTCACCCTAACCTGTCAAAGCTCAGCTAAGCATCAAATTAGTTTCCTTCATTACTTATTCTGGCTACCTGGCTTAGGAAAGTCAATTTCGTTTACCTCTTCTAAACTCCAAACTACAGTGATAAAGGCTGGTACCCAAAAACTAGTTACAGTGCAAGTACTTACAGAAAAGAGCTCAGTAAGTGCTACAAGTACAAGCTCCTGCTTTTCAGAAAACCAGATGTTAAACATTACCAGCAAGCCAGTGCTTCCAAACTAAATCGCTCAAGGCCAGGAAGAAGGTCCAAAGGGCTAGTGCTCATGCATATGCATGTGCCACTAGTGCCAGTGCAAAAGGCCTGAGTTTGATCCCTGGCACCATAAGACCCTGAGCACCACAAGGAGCAACCCCTGAAAATGGAGTCAGGATTTGCCTCTCAGCATCACCAGTCCCTGGAAAATAACCAAAAATTTAGTCTAATGCTAGTTAGTTCTTATTGCAAGTAAAATAAAGGTAGAATTTATCAACTGTCTTGTGGCCAGCTATTGTGAATTTTAGGAAAATGAGCCCTATTTTTCCTGTAACAAACTGAGTCACAACAGAAAAGGTCACCTAGTACAGTTTGCACAAAAGAACAGCTTCTACATAGTACTCAATTCCGATGAACTGAATATACCTCACTCAAGACAATTTGAACGGGCCAGAAAGACTCATATAGTAAGAAAGTACTTGCCTTGCATGCATCCAAACCAGGCTCAATTCCAGGCACCCTACATATGGTCCTCTGAGCCCACCAAGAATAATCTCTGATCACAGAGCCAAGAATAAGCCCTGAGCTGAATATTTTGGGGAGCGGGAGGGAGGGTATCACCCAGCCCGTCACTGGGAATTTTGGAATTTGGAATTAGAATTCTAATTGTTCAGAATTTAGAGGCTACTCCTGACAGTACTCTGTCAGGCAGTGCATGAAGGCTTGACAGTTCAGTGCTTAGACCTAGCAATACAACACTACCTGAATCACTGGTGCTGAGAGCCCCCAGGGCTATCCGAGGCAACACTCAGGGATCTGGACTACACCCAGCAGTGCTGGGAGGCGGGAGAGGGGAGGAGGCAGCAGGTGAAGGATAAGTCATGTGACACCACAGATGCAATTTTGTGGTCTCATGCATGTAAGACTTGTACTCCACCTATCCAAACTATCTCCCCCAGCCCCAATATCAGGTCAGTTTTCTTCTTTTATGCTGCCAACTATTATTCTATTATGATTTTTTAAGTTTAACTTAAATGTTAGGTTATAAAATCCAGATGCCCTTCAACATGTCCTTTAGAAAAATAAGTTTTGAAAAGATGGTTCAAAAAGATAACAGGATTGAAGGCAATTGTCTTGACCTCTGACGATTCCAGTTCTAGAATGGTCCCCAGAGCATAACCAGGTGTCAGTCCTAAGCACAGAGCCAGAAATAGCCCCTGAAGACAGCCAGATGTAGCCCAAATATCAACAATAATGAAGTTTTGAGAAGATATTTAGCTTTCAAATTTAATAATATTTCCCCATGACCTGTAATTATATTATTTTTTTTTACCTCCAAGCTCTGTGCTTCTGTTGATTCCTCAGGGCTGACATCCTTTAAAGATGGCTCTAAGCCTTCGTACTGAAAAGAAAGCAACACTCTAAGTAAAAACTCTATAAATCTGATTTCCAATTTATCCAGTGAAGTTTCCAAGATGCAGACAGAATCCACTTTCACATGTTTATTAAATTTCCCATGAATTTACTTAGCTTTGAGTGCTTCAAATACAGTAAGTACTAGTATAACAAACAAGCCAGGGAAGCTCAGACAAGGCAACAACCTTCCTTTGACAACAAGTAATAAATCTTCACCCTGAAGACTAAGGAAGCTGGATGAAACTTGACCATTTATTATTAAAGACTTTATACTAGCTAATGGAATGTTCACTTCAAATTCAACTGACACAACAAATCAAGTAGGAATATAAAACCGTTAAAAGAACAACCAAGAATAATGGGTCTTACAAAGGGAAGCAGGTGGATCAAAAAGAAGACAATGAAACATACAAAGATGTAAGATTTAGGAAAAAAGCATTTAATTTGATGCTTTTAAAAAGTGATCACATGGAAGACTAGATTGTTTTAGATCATCTTTTGTTTTGTTTTGTTTTTAGTTAAGAATAAGAAGAATTAGGAAATAACATAACAAATATAGTCTGGGAAAACGATTCACGTGGGAACCTGAAGTTCAATCCCAAACACTGCCAGATGGCCCACCTGCGCCCCCCAAAAACGCCCAAAAAGATTTATCCAAGGGCCTCAAAGAGCTAGCAAAATAACCAAACCCTAAAAAAAAAGGAAATTCTTAGAAATACTAGTTCGGCACTCAACGTTTCTTCCCATCATCCCCCCAACCCCCCCCCCCCCCCCACCAAAAAGTAAAGGAAAAGAAACTGAGCAGAGCATAGAGATTTTACAACTAGAAGCTGAGGAAAGAAAGCCTGAAGTCTGGGATCTGCTGAGGTGGATGGAGCAAGATTAGCATTCAGAATAGGGCTCTGTGGTAGAATGAATAACGACCACCCCACACATACTCTCATCCTAATTCCTGAAATTTCCAGATGTAATTCAATTAAGAATCTTGAGATAGAGATACAAGATTATCCCAGTGAGTCTCATATAATCCCAAGGTTTATATGGGAAGGAAGCAGGAAGATCAAAATGAAAGATGAAAGCCAGTTAGAGGGATCAAGTTTGGAGCCAAGGAATGTGGAAGGCCTCTAGAAGACAGCACAAGGCAAAGAACAGAGACTCTCCTGGAGCCTCACATGAAGAAAGAGACCTGGGCTGGAGCAGTGGTACAGCGGGCAAGACACTTACATTGCACACAGCCATCCCAGGCTGGATCCCTGGCACTGAAAAGTCCCAAGTCCCACCAGAAGTGATCTCAGCACAGAGAAAGCAGTACGCCCTGAGCACCACTTGGGTGTAGCCCAAAACCAAACAGAAAAAAGAAATAAGAAACAGACCTGCTGATATCTTATTAAGGCCCTACAGTGTTTTTGATACCCAGTATTATAAAAGAATACATTTGCTTTGCTTTAGGCCCCAAAGACTGTTACAGCAAGAACAGGAAATTTAGTATCAACCCTTATGACAATGACTACATCAAAAACAGACTAATCCCTTGAACCAATCCTAGTTTCCAAATATCTCAACCCTCTGATTTTTTAAAGTATTTTTTTAGGGGGGAATGGGCTGGGGCCACATCCAGTGGTGCTCAGGAGTTACTCCTGGCTCTGCACTGAGGAATTACTCCTGGCAGGTGCTGGAGACTGCCTGGGATACCATGGATCAAAACTGGGTCAGCCGCATGTAAGGCAATCATCTTACCAGCTGTACTATCATTCTGGCCCTCAACCTTTGATTAATATCCCTAGTCTCACTGTCAATAAAAAGCAATACTAAATCCTCACTTTAAAAAAAAATTAAATTTAAAAAGAATGCAACAATAACAAAAAGAACATCTTCAAATTATCACAAATTGTGTTACAGTAATATTCAACAGAAAATGACCTGGGTTCAATCCCCACATCAATCCCAGGCATCATACTGCATCATATCACATGTGGTTCCCTGAGCCCCGCCAGGAGTGATCCAAGTGCAGATCCAGCCCTGTGCACTACCAGGTGTCTCTCCCCTCAAAAAAAAAAAAAATAGTAAAATGGTCATAAAACATCAAATGTTAAGTGAACAATAGCCTAAAACTTACACAGAGGGAGCTGGAGCAATAGCACAGAGGGTAGGGCATTTGCCTTGCCAGCAGCTGACCCAGGTTCGATTCCCAGCAAGCCATATGGTCCCCCGAGCACCACCAAGAGTAATTCCTGAGTGCATGAGCCAGGAGTAGCCCCTGTGCATCGCTAGGTGTGACCCGAAAAGCAAAACAAACAAACAAACAAACAAAAAACTTTTACAGAAACAGCATAGAAAATAATGTGAAGGGGCCAGAGCAATAGTACAGTGGGTAGGGTATCTGCCTTGCACACAGTCAACCTGGATTTGATCCCTTGCATCCTATGATCCACAGAGCACCACCAGGAATAATTCCTGCGTGCAGAGCCAGGAGTGGTAATCCCTGAGCATCACTGGGTGAGACCCAAAAATACCAAATAAAAATTTTAAAAATTAAAAGAAGGTATAGTCTCTGAGCATTACTGGGTGTGGCCCAACTGCCCCACATAAATTTTACTTTGGGAGCCACAGAGATACTACAGGGTAAAGCACTTGCCTTGCAATTGTAGGTGACATTCCAGTATCATGCATGTTCCCCAGAGCACTACATGAGTGAATTTTGAACAAAGAGCAAGGAATAGTCCCTGAGCACTACCAGGTATAGCAGAAACCTCTCTACCCCACCCCACCCCCAAAAAAGAAAAAATAATAACCCAGGGGGCCAGAGAGATAGTAGTACATAGCAGGCTTTGCATACAGCCGGCCCGAGTTGGATATCCGGCATCCCATACAGTCCCCTGAGCACTGACAAGAGTGCCTCCTGAGTGCACAGCCAGAAGTAACCCCTGAGCATTGCCAGGTGTGGCTCAAAAAAAAAAACAAACAAATGAACAAATAGTAACTCAGAAGACTATCTTTATATCCTTAAGCAGACACAGTTTTCTCTGCATCGGTAGCAAAAAGCACTCATCTTCAAGAAAATTTGATAATTATACTATTATAATTAAGAACTTCATGGGCCTGGGCCGGTGCAATATTACAGCACGTAGGACACTTGCCTTGCACACAGCCAACCTGGGTTCGATCTCTGGCATCCCATATGGTCTCCCAGCACCATCAGGAGTAATTCCTGAGTGCAGAGTCAAGAGGAACCCCTGAGCATTGCCAGGTGTGACCCAATAAAAACAACAACAACAAAAAAAAAAAAAAAAAAGAACTTTGTGGGCCAGAGACAGTAAAAAGGTTAAGGCATTTGCCTAGCATGTGATTTGCCACCACATATGTCTCCCACAGCACCAGCATGGCCCTGAGCACAAGGCCAGGTCTGGCCCCTGAGCACTGATGGGTTCCACACCAAAATCAAAAACAAAAGAAAGAACTTCAGCTTACCAAAACTTCATATGAAACAAAAAAAAAAGGAGGCAAACCTGGAGTAAAAACAGAATTTGCAACACCTATATTTGACAAAGGATCACAAAATATAAGAAAATGGGGTCAGGGATATCTCTCAGTGGGTACTACACTTTAATGTATTGCATATGTGAATCCCTACGTTCAATCCCCAGCACCAAAAAATTAAAAAAGAAATAAAAACAACCAGATGGCTCTCTGCTCAAAATGAAACTCTTACATATCATAACAGGAAAAACATAGATAAACACATCTTTAAAATCTTTGAAAAAAAAAACTGAACAGATTTTACCAAAAAAGTAACCAGGGTCAGGGCGGAAGTACAGGATTTGATCACTGGCACAACATGGCCACCTGAGAAATTCTGGGGTGGCCCAGGGAATCCCCGGAACAGAGGACTTGAGCAGCACCACATCCTGGGCTTTCTCACAATGAACCATCAGTTTCTCCAAGAATCCTCAGATACAGTCCCAGATCTCTTGAGAACTGCCCCAGGCCACCTGAGAACTTCTTGGGAGGCCCCCTTTAAAGTAAACAAATTTTTAGAAACTAATAACCAATGTCAATAAAACATATTTTTAAAAATGCTTAAACTCATTAGAGAAATACAAATCAAATACTATGAGACACCATGATGCCTCTACCACAGTAATAAAATTAGTTCACAAATCAATCGTGTGAGACAACAGAACTCTTGAACTTTCCAAGTGAGGAAGTGGTGAGGAAGACATTTGGGGTCACTCCAGGCTCTTGGCTCAGAGGTCACTCAGGGCACAGGGGACAAGGCAGTGCTGGGAATCAAACTACAGTTAGCCACACACAAGGCAAGTGTGTTAACCTGTATCTCTGACATCGAGATAAATAAGGAGATAAATAAGCTATACAGAAGTACTTACAGTAGGAAGTGGAAAGTCCCTAACTATAACAAGAATATTAACATTTTGAAAACTGACCTCTTTTTTAACAAGGCTCAATTTTTCAAGTAATTTACATTTTTCTTCTATTAGTGAAGAAAGTTCCACAGCAAGCTTTCCCTCTCTTGCTGGAAAAAAAAGAAAAAGAGTAAATATGATCATAAGTTGTTTTCACTTTAATACTATAAACAATGATGAGAACCAAAATAAAAAAACTTACCCACATAAAGTCGGCTTCTAATCTGAAATATTTAACAAAAATTGTATTACAAACTTATGTTCAGGCAAGTCTAATTTAATTAATTTCTACTGCCAATTTAAAGAGCTCTATTTCCAATAAGAAAACAATTTTTAAAAAGCTATATATTAAGGTCTCCCTACTGAAGATTCATATATGTGTCCGTATATTAATATAACTCTACCTAAAGGATGCCTGTTTAATTCCATTTTTCCCACTGTTATTAAAACTTATCTAACCCCAAAACAAACCATCCCAGGCCTTCTCTAGTATCATCTCCCCTAATAACCATGTAAGAAATGTTACCAGAGGAGGTGGGTCTGTGAGCATAGTGTGCAACGTGCATTTGACAAGTTATGAATTTATGAACCTGTTACTTGCAAAACTGTCTCATATAACAGTTACCTCATAAAATAAGTGAAAACACTAATACTAAACATTTGAGGAAGGAAAAGGGAATAGAGAATACCTCAAGAAACTAAAGTGCATGCTTTGCTTGCGAGAGAGGCCTGGGCTAGATGCTCGGCATGGCTGGGTACTTGGGCACTGCCAAGAGCGCCCCCTGAGCACCTGACCAACAGCAGCCCCAGAGCACCAGTGGGTATATAAGGACCAAAAACAAACCAAGAAAAAGAAAAAGGGAAAATACACATCCCTTTAAAAAAAAAAAACCCACAGAGGAGACAACCAAGGAACTAGTGTAACTGGTAAACTACATGTGCTCTAGAATGAAGCATATCGGGACTGGAGCGAAAGTACAGTAGGTAGGGCATTTGCCTTGTACACAAGTGACCCAGGTTCAATTCCCAGCATGCCATATGGTCCTCTCAGCACCACCAGGAGTAATTCCTGAGTGCAAAGCCAGGAGTAAGCCCTGTGCTTCGCCGGGTGTGCCCCAAAAACATCCATGTATAAGGAAGTTAAACTTAGAATTTGGGGATTAATGTAATATAAGCATGTAGGAAAACATAGAATTAAGATATAAAATTGAGGGATTATCACAAAATATAATAGGAACCTTCTTTTTTTTTCTTTTTTGCAGTGGATGGGGGACAGTGAAGGCACCATACTCAATAGTACTTAGAGCTTATTCCTCATTCTGTTCTCAGATAACACTCTTGGTGGGGCTTAGGGGACCACATGAGTGTCAAGGATCGAGAGGGGGTCAGAGTTAATGCAGCTGGTAAGATGCTCATCATGCACACAGTCATCTCTGGTTGAATCCCCAAAACCACAAATGGTCTGGTAGTGGGAAAGTAAGTCAATGACTTTATGTGCCAATACCATAAACTCTAATACCCTCACAGTCATATTACCTAACCTGTAATAAAATATTGCTAATTCAAGTCAACGATAGAATAAACATTTTGTTCGGACATAATATTGATACTGACTACTTACCGACTTAAAACTTCTCCACAATAGCAAGAAAACAGCAAAAGTTCCAACGATAGCTACACAAATCACTAACTCCCATGGAAAACCATAAGGATTAGGGCCTGGTCTCATATCTTCAGGTAATGTTGCCACCACCTTGAAAACAATTAAAATTAACTTGTTGAAATAGCACTTCAAGTACAATAATGGAATCAACCCACAACTATAAAACCAACATGGGTGAAGTATCTGCACGTGCATTTGATAAGGAGTAAACTAAAATATGTTTTTGGTTTTTTTGTTTGTTTGTTTGTTTGTTTACAAACTCCTGCAATTCCAAAAAAAGATGAAATCATGAAATTCATTGACGCTTGGATGGAACTACAGGATACCATGTTAAGTGAAGCAAGTCAGAAGAAGGGCAAATACGAGATGACCTCACTACCTGTGATATATGGAATAACAGGATGAGGAATACAAGGAATCAAATAGGGAATATCTAGCTTTCCTTTGAACTCACACTAAGAAAAAAGAAGTGAATAGGGAAGCAAGAAGAGGCAGACTGGAGGTAACAAGAGCAAAAATACAGAAAAACATACTTTAAAAACCGTACAGAGGGCTGGAGTGATAGCACAGCAGGTAGGGCGTTTGCCTCGCAGGCGGCTGACCCGGGTTCGATTCCCAGGAACCCATATGGTCCCCTGAGCACTCCCAGGAGTGATTCCTGAGTGCAAAACCCTGAGCATCGCCAGGGTTTTGGTGTGACCCAAAAAGAAAAAAAAAATGCAATAGAGCTTTGGGTTTAGAATATGAATCTTGGGGCTGGAGCAATAGCACAATGGGTAGGGTATTTGCCTTGAAGGCGGCTGATCCAGGTTCAATTCCCAGCATCCCATATGATTCCCCCGAGCACTGCCAGGAGTAATTCCTGAGTGCTTGAGCCAGGAGTAACCCATGTGCATTGCCGGGTGTGACCCAAAAAGAAAAAAAAAATTGGATATAAATTCCTTTATCCTAACATTACAATTCCTTTTACTTTTTTTTTTATCTGCCTGTAAAGGTAATATTCTTTGAGCATGCAAAAACAATTTCTATTATTCTTCCTCCAAAGGCCATGAGTGACACTTAACTGTGGCTTTCAACTTCCCCTAATATGTCTTCACACAAAAATACTAAGGTTTTTGCAGTTGCTTGTCGCTTCCTCTTTCTCTGGGTCCAAACATTATACATCTTTATCTACTGCTAGGGTATAATTCCCATTATTATCAGAACCCCCCCCGAAAAAAAACATTATAGAAGAAAAGTAAAAAGAAGGGGAAAAAAACCCTTTAAAGAACAACCTGAAGTCTTATGAAATTTGACACTTTCCAGAATTCAACCAAAACGTCTATGAAAAGTCTTTTTATAAGATCTTTTCTACATATAAAAAACTCCTTAGGCAAATCTATCCACACTCTTTTTTTGAAACTTTGACCTAGAAATATACTCCTTTCATAAGCTATTGATAGTTCATCAGATATAGTAAATAAACCTGACTGTATCTTTCAAAAAAAAAAATATATATATATATATATATTCCCAAGGGACAAGAGAGACGGTCCAGCAGTTAAGGTGCTTGCTTTGCTTGGTCCTGACCCGGGTTCAATCCCTGGCACCCCATAACTTCCCAACAAGCTTACTAGGAGTGATCCCTAAAATCACAGAGCCAGAAGTAAGCCCTATGAAAGTTTGTAATGAGCACTTCCAGGTGTGACTCAAAAAACAAAAACCAACAAAAAAAACCAAAGCAGATCGCTGCCTCCCTCCCCACCTCTCCCTATATTATGCAACTTACCAGAGTTCCCAGATAAATGACATCAGTAGAAACACTGAATTATTTCCTTTAAAGGGGCCAGACCAATAGTACAGAGGGTAGGGCATTTGCCTTTCATACACAAGTTCAATCCCCCGCATTCCATATGGTCCCCAAAAAACCACCATGAGTTAACTCCTGAGTACAGAGCCAGGAGTAACCCCTGAGCATTGTTGTGTATGACTCAAAAAAGAAAAAAAAAAAGCTTGTATTTCAAAATTAAAAAGAAAAAAAAAGTATGTCTGCCTAAGAAATCCAATACACCATACTAGAGAGAGAAAAAAATTTTACCTTTTATTTTTTTAAATTTTAATGTAGGAGAATTGTTATTTATTCAGCCATTGATCAGGCTGATTGACTTGGGCATGAACTCCGCAAAATTTTACCTTTTACCATTTATATATTCTCTGAGCTTTTCAACCATTTCTAACATGAAATGAACACTATTTCAACAATCTATTACTATTTCTTTAGACTGTCCATTAAAATACTGTCACTGTCACTGTTCTCCCGTTGTTCATCGATTTGCTCGAGCGGGCCCAGTAACGTCTCCATTGGAGACTTTGTTGTTACTGTGTCTGGCATATCGAATACGTCACGGGGAGCTTGCCAGGCTCTGCCGTGCGGGCGAGATACTCTCGGTAGCTTGCCGGGCTCTCTGAGAGGGGCGGAGGAATCGAACTCGGGTCGGCTGCGTGCAAGGCAAACGCCCTACCACTGTGCTATCGCTCTCTCCATCAGTCCATTAAAATAAGACAAGGGAAATTCTAAAAGCATCTCTTAAAGACAAATCATCATGTATAAGGGCATATCTTAGTGTAGGCACACATCTTAAATATCACTTTATCAGCCCTTCTATCACAAAAGATGTTATACTCTAAGCTAAAGCTTCAAGTTGGCTGAATCAATGGACTAAGAAACAGCAAAGAATCTAAGTTTCAATAATTCATCTTTAATCCATATACCTACAAGTAAACTGACTTAGAAACAAATGGAATCAAATCCATAAACCTATAAGTGAGAAAAATGGACTTAGAAACAAATGGATTTAACAAAACGAACTTCCAATAAAGAAAAGCCCAGGACCAAATGGATTAACAAGTGAGCGCTTCAAAAAAAATACAGAACAGGTTGGAGCAATAGTACGGCAGGTAGGGCATAAAGCCTTGCATGTAGCCGACTCAGGTTCGATCCTGGTTCTAGATATGGTCCCCCAAGCTCACCAGGAGTGATCTCTGAGCACAGAGCCAGGACTAGGGTCTGAGCAAGTAAGTGTGGCCCAAAAACAAACAAATAAAGTTTACAGAAGAATCAACACTAATCATTTTTTAAATCTTCCAAAATACAAAGGTGGGAGAGCTCACCCTAACTTGTTCAGAGGCCAATATTAGCTGCTATGACACCCAAATAAAAATTGAAATAGAAATCCTCAACGATAAAACATCAGATCCAGTAGCAAATTAAAAAAATTATATACAATGATTGAATGGAATGTATTCAAAGAATTCAGGATTGATTCAGCTCTTTAATTATTTTAGTGACAGATTGAATCTAGGGCTTCATGCATGCAAGGCAAGGGCTCTACAGCTGAGCCACATCCCTGGTCCAAATGACATTTTGTCCTGGAATCAAAGGTTTCTTTTTCATTATTTATTTATTTTGGCTGGAGTGATAGCATAGCAGGTAGGGTGTTTGCCTTGCATGCAGCCAACCTGGGTTCGATTCCTCCATCCCTCTCGGAGAGCCCAGCAAGGTACTGAGAGTATACCGCCTGCATGGCAGAGCCTGGCAAGCTTCCCCGTGGCATATTCGATATGCCAAAAACAGTAATGAGTCTCACAGTGGAGATGTTACTGGTGCCCGCTCGAGCAAATCGATAAACAATGGGAGGACAGTGCTACAGACAGTGCACTTATTTATTTATTTTAAATTTAACTGCATTCAGTGTTGCTCAGAAGCTTCTCCCAGCTTGGCGCTTAGGGAACTATGCAGTACAGGGAATAAAATCCAGGGCTCCCACATGCACTCTAGATCTGAGGTCGTGTCCTAAAAAATTCAATATTTTATTATTTTTTTTGAAGTAATGAATTATAAAGCCAGGAGTAGCCCCTAGCACTGCCAAGTATAACCTAAATTCTATAATCAGAAAAAATGCAAAACATTGTTGGAAGAAATTAGAGAAGATTTTTTTCAAATGCAGTGAATAAAATAAGACCAGAAAGATAAGACCGTAGATTGAGTGCTTGACTTGTAGGCAGCCAACCTAGGTTCAATCTCCAGCATCCCATATGGTTCCCCAGGCCCTGTCAGGAGTGAACCCTGAGTGCAGAGCCCTAGGCAACCCTGGATGTGGCCCAGAAACAACAGAAAATATCAATGACATCTCTTGGTTATAGAATGGAAATTCAGTATTGTCAAAATGGAAACTTTCCCAAACTGAATTATTAATCAATGTAATCCCTATCAAAATTCCAACTGTCTCTTGCAAAAGTAAATGCTACAGAACCAAAATCACCAAAGTAATACTGAAAACTAAAAGCAATTATGGGAGCTCACACCTGCCCTACTCCAAAGCTTACTATAAGCTAGAATAAACAAAACAGTTTGGCAATGGCTTGAAAACCTCTGGCCCAACAGAAATGAATATCCAGAAATAAACTGTGAGATTTATGGTCAATTAATTCTCAACAGTAGTACCAAAACAAATCAATAAATAACAGTCTTCAACAAATGATACTGGAACAAGTGATTATCTACATGCAAATAAAGTCATACCCAGATTTTATATACTTTGTAAAAATTAACTGAAAATGAACCACATACTTTTAGTACAAAATCTGAAACTCTTAGAAATATAGACATAGGGGGCTGGAGGAATAGCACAGCGGGTAAGATGCTTGCCTTGCACGCAGCCAACCCAGGTTCGATTCACAGCATCCCATATGGACCCCCGAGCACCGCCAGGAGTAATTCCTGAGTGCATGAGCCAGAAGTAACCCCTGTGCATAGCCGAATGTGAGGGAGGGAGGGAGGGAGGGAGGGAGGAAGGAAGGAAGGAAGGAAGGAAGGAAGGAAGGAAGGAAGGAAGGAAGGAAGGAAGACATAGGCATAAATCTCAGTGACCTTATCTGAAACAAGTTTCTTAAATAGGACACATAAAGTACTATCCAAAGAAAACATTACAGATAAATTCCATAAAAATTTAAAACCACTGTACTTCGAGGCTGGAGCCATAGTACAGCGGGGAAGGGGTTTGCCTTGCAGGCTGCCAACCCGGATTCAATCCCCAGCATCCCATATAGTT